AACATAACATACCGGAGCGGCCCCTGGAACGGGGAGAGGTTTAGTGGCGTGCCGGAGATGACCGCATCAAACAATATACGATTCGACTTCGTTGCAAAACCTGACGAGGTCTACTATTCCTATTCGATCCTGGGCAATTCGGGACCGATATATTCACGGTTGACAGTGAGTCCAACTGGGGACCTCCAGCGCTTTATTTGGATCGAAAGCGCAAAGATATGGAACCAATATTGGTACGCACCAAAAGACCAATGTGACAGCTTTAGAGAGTGCGGTCCCTACGGTGTTTGTGACTCGAATGCTTCGCCAGTGTGCAATTGCTTGGAAGGGTTTGGGCCCAAGAATTTGCAGGCATGGAACTTGAGAGACGGGTCAGATGGGTGCGTGAGAACAACGGAGTTGGGTTGTTTGAAAGACAAGTTTTTGGTTTTGGAAAACATGAAATTGCCCGAGAGTGGGGATGCTTTTGTGGATATGAACATGAGCCTGGAGGCGTGTAAGAAAACGTGTTTGGAGAATTGTAATTGCACTGCATATTCTGATGCAAGGATTTCAAATGGAGAAGGCTCAGGTTGTGTCATGTGGACTGGGAAGCTCATGGACTTGAGGCAATATGCAGAAGGTGGCCAAAGTTTCTATGTTCGTTTGGCAGCTTCTGAGCTAGGTAATTTTTTTTAATAAAAAATTTTATTTTATTTTATTTTATTTGTCTAAAAATTACAAAAAAAAATAATTTAGAGTTAACCAAGTTGGTTGAAGCATAATTTGGAAGGCAATTAATATCATTTTTTTTCCTGGTCAAAGAATAGTGTGCCACTCGTGTTGAAACATGTTTTGAACTTATGAGACACAAAACTTTTTTTTTTCGGTTACATCACATAGTACAATTTTGGTAGATATATATGTCTTTGACTGGATGGTTGAAATTATTTGTCACTGTGAAAACAGTTTCACATTGACCAGAAAAACAGAAGAGTTTTCACTCTTCCGCAATTGGCTGCATGACCAATTTTAATTTGGAAGTATGTAGATTCTTTTGGTCCTCCCCATAAAAAAAAGTTCGAACACTAACTGGAGTTGTGCTCATTTCAGATGGTGATCATGGGAGAGCAAAACGAGTGATCATGATTGTAGTCATTACAGTTAGCATTTGCTGCATTCTACTGCTATCGGGACTTGTCATCTATTTTCTACGGAAGAGGAATTTGAATTTGCCAATTGTGCACAGAGAATCCTCAAAGCTAAAAGGTACTTGTGTAATTTGTACGCGTATATGTAGAGAGTAGTGCTTTCTTGCTAGACTTATGTTGTCACTCAAATAAATACTTATTTATCTTGCCAAAACTATGAATATGGACCGCATAATTTGGCAAAAGTCAATGTGATCAATGTTCCAAATTCAGTCTGGCAACATAAGACAATCTAGCAAGAGAACATTTGCCGAGATGTATATAATCAACAAATTAATGAGGCAAAACCTAGATTTATATTGAACTAAGAAGCTTGTTGATTGTTTTTCGCTTACTTCTGAACAGGTTCTTTTGAAAGAAACTGGGATAGTCTGCTAAGTGAGGTAGTTATCTCAAGTAGGAGGGATTTCTGTTCAGGGGAAAGGAGCAATGATGAGCTAGATCAGTTGCCATTGTTTGATTTTAACACTCTAGCAGTGGCTACGGATAACTTTTCCAATCGAAATAAGTTGGGGGAAGGCGGTTTTGGGTGTGTTTACAAGGTAATTATAAGTACATTTTGCTAGAAATCAATCACAAGATCATATATAAATTTAAGACTTAATTATGTGTGGTTAATCCAAATCCAGGGCACGCTGGTTGACGGTCAAGAAGTTGCTGTCAAGAGGCTTTCGACGAATTCTGGACAAGGAACTGAAGAATTCAAAAACGAAGTAGAGTTAATTGCGAGGCTTCAGCACCGAAATCTGGTTCGACTGCTTGGTTTCTGCATTGATGAGGATGAAAAGATGCTCACCTACGAGTACATGGAAAACAAAAGCCTGCATTCCATTTTATTCAGTGAGTGGCTACCTCAAAAACTTAATTTATCTTACTTTATTTTTAATAGTTAAATAAAATTGTCATTAAGTTTATAATCATGAATTATAGATAGAGCAAAGAGGTCTATGCTGGATTGGCAAAAGCGTTTCAAAATTATTTGTGGGATTGCTCGAGGGCTTATTTATCTTCACCAGGATTCCAGACTTAGAATTATCCACAGGGATCTCAAGGCAAGCAATATTCTACTTGATGGAGATTTGGCCCCCAAAATATCCGACTTTGGAATGGCTAGATTGTTTTGTAATGATCAGACAGAAGAAAATACCAGAAGAGTGGTGGGAACATTGTGAGTACCAATCCCATGCATATATATATATATATATATATATATATCTGTGTGTGTGTGTGTGTTGTGTATGCTTTCAATTTTGCTATGATTATTAGCTGCTTTGTAGCGGTTTCTTTTCCATCTATTCAATGCAACACTTCAGTTCAAAAAACATTAGCTGCCCACATATATACGTAGAATGTACTAATTTCACTATGTTGGTGATCTGCAGTGGCTATATGGCTCCCGAATATGCAATGGACGGGCTGTTTTCGACCAAGTCCGATGTCTTTAGCTTTGGTGTTCTGGTGTTGGAGATCATTAGTGGTAAAAAGAACAAGGGATTTTATTCCTCAAACACTGAACTAAACCTCCTAGGAAATGTAAGTAACAAGGCAACATCTAGAATGAAAGATTCTTCATTTGGTTGTCTTTTTGTCCCAATGAAAGATTCATATTCATAGTCTAACAATATAAGTATTTGTCTGGCAACACGAAACATTACTCTTGATGTAGTCATTGACATTAACATCAATAGTTTTGTTACTAACATTGAAATGATGATTTGGAACTATTGCAGGCATGGAAGCTATGGAATGAAGGAAAGGGGTTGGAAATGATAGATCCTGATGTTGGGGAATCGTATTCCCATTCTGAGGTCTTGAGATGCATGCAAGTCGGCCTCTTATGCGTCCAAGAGCGCGCTGAAGATAGGCCAACAATGGCCTCTGTGGTTTTGATGTTGAGCAGTGGAACTGCAACAACAATGCCTAACCCTAAAAACCCTGGTTTTTGCTTAGAAAGGACAGAGAGTGCAGTTGAAGCAGATTCTTCCTCAGACAAGCAGGAAGAAGGCTACAGTGTAAACCAAGTAACAATTTCAACGCCAGTTGGTAGGTAGTGAAAGGAAGGACCTCATGATCCAGCATTTATTTATTTATTAATTTTTGCATACATAGCTTTGAGAATCAACTAGGCATCTTCAAGAACCTTCTTGTTTTGTTGTTGTAATTTTGTCAGCTTTCTTATTGCAATGTGCAATTGGACCAAGATATAAAGACAGAGCAAAAAGAAAGCTGACAGAAAAATTCTTGTGTGAATACGGGTGGATATATAAGATTAGATACTGCAATTCCCAATCCCAGTGTACAGTTTTGGTATTCAAGTCATGGAAACATTCACAATGGAATATTATGAACACCATTGCTGTTTAGGACACAGCATTATTAATTCTAGCAGCTTCTTGAGCGGATTGAGACCTTCAATGTGATAATTCCATTAGATATGATAACCACCTGCTACCTTAATAAATTAAATATGGATAAAAGCTGATTTGATCCAATAATAATCCGCTTCGAGTGACACAATATAATATATAATATTTTTTTATATTATGTTACAAATGTTACGTGTGTGTAGGATAATTTGGTTTTTTTTTTCCATTGCATTTACACTTAAACTATTTACTTATTATACACTAGGCCGAACTACCTATACTAAAACGAGCATAACTTCCTTTAAAAAAATTATATTAATGAACCGTAAAATTTCCTAGAAAATAGACATCCGTTCCTTTCTAAGCATATGTGACTCAGAGACTGGTTTTTCCTGAGTCAGTACAGTATAATCCGTGAACTTGACTGATTTGCACAGGCCTTTCAAACTCAACTTTCTCTTTTTAGCTCATTTTCCACCATTCGCCTGTGATTACCTAAAAAGGTAATAATGTAAAACCTATATAAAAGAGTAAAACAAAAGTGTAACCATGGAGAAATATCATAGATAAATGTCTAATTTATGAGCACATCACAACGGGAAGATAATAATAAAAATATTCAGAGTTTTCCTAATTAAAAAAAATGAAAAAACTTATAGATTTAATAGACAGTAAGCCAACACAAGTAGAACTCGATTCTTAAGAAATAATTGAACAATTAAAAATAGAAGTCCATAGAATTAAATTAATACAAAAGATCTTAACAGAAAAAGTAAAAAAATTACATAGCAAAATAGATAGACTTTTAGTTTGTCAGATTTGAGAATTAATAATAAATATATCAAAGCATTAGAGTCGATTGGTAATTTAGATAAGGAACCAGTAGGTCTTACAAAATATACAACATCAATATATAGCAAGTAGCAATATACCTATAAGACAAAACAATATAATTATTCAATTAATTTTAAACTTAGTAGAAGAAGTATATGAATTAAAAGAGCAAATTACAGAACTTAATCAATTATTACATAATACCAACTCGACACTTCCTCCACCATACAGAAATTAGAAAGTTTAACTGTAGGATCAAGTAGTAATTTAAAATAAATTGCTTTGATAATACTAAATGGACCTACTCAGAAAGAAAGGAAAAGAAATAGTCAGAGCATAAGATATATATGATAATGAAGAAGAAGCAGCATAAATGAATTCCTTAAGGAAGGGATTTAAAAAATCACAAAGATAAAGAAGTTAATTATATTCAAACAGGAATATTCGAAAATAAAAATAGTATTGTAAATAATATGACTCAACATAATAAAGTTGTATAGATAAAGAAGTTATTACTTTAAGGCCCTGTTTGGTGGGCTAGACTAGATGTGATATTTCCAATTAAAATGGACATGGATCCTAACCATTTTTTGGTGAGCTTAAATGAGTCTCAGACTGGATATGGGCCTCTAGATCCAAGTCCCAAATAACTAAGGTTATGAAACCCAAGCCCAGACGTGGGTTTAGAAGCTACGTCGTCTTGCGAGAGCGAGCGCCTCCTCTGGTTTGACGCCTTCTGTCTTCTCCTCTTTGAGAATTGCAGCAACATCGGATCGTGCAGACAAAGGCATGGAGGAATTACAGCAAGATTGTGTTGTGCAGATCGTCGCCGCTTCCCGTCGATCTGGCCAAGCTTTTCCATTATAAGAATCGCTTGGCGTATGCTATCTCTCTCTCTCTCTCTCTCTCATCTCTCTCTCTCTCTCTCTCTCTCTGTTTGTTTCCTGAGAAAAATTGCGATGAAAAGACAATCTAAAGGAAACATTGAGTTGAGATATATTTTGTTTTCATTTCTTGTGATTTCTCAGTAGTTCAGTATCATATCTCAACTCAAATAATATATTTGTTTTGTTTTGTTTTTGTAAATGAAATATTTTGCATGTCATTGTTTGTGTCGATTTTGTGAAAATTATGATTTTTCTTGGATATGCGAATTGGGTAGATTTGTATGCATTATTATAATTTTTATACATTTATTTGTAATATTTTTATTCTGCAAATTTTGTGTCAGTCCAGAGAATCTCATCTTGGTGTTACTGCACCAAACAGTTGCTTAAAATCTGGTTATATCCCAACTAGTCCAGTCTAGTATAGAAAGGTTAATCCAATCCAATCCAATTTAGCCTACCAAACGGGGCCTAAATCTACTTAGTGGTACAAAAATAGAATAACTTCGAAAATCTAAATACATAGCCAATCCATATATGAATGACAGGCATTATAGGATTAACTAGAGTACAAGTAAGCATTAAGGTATTAGTATACATATATGACGATAGATGAGATAACCATTTACAAGCAGCCATAGTAACAATATAAGTAGACCTTAGCACGAGCATAGCAGTCATAGGTTCTATCCCTAATTATGTCATGAATATTAGAGAATTCAGTAAATACATTAAAGTAAGTATTAGAACTAAAACTTATAATATGAAAGGAGAATAGTCTCATAAACGTAGAAAAAGTTTCAAATAATTAATCATAAATTTAATATTCAATTTCATAATCTAGTACAAACTTTTGGAAGCAAACATGTTAGCATGATAGAAGCTAAACCCACAGATAATAGTTTCTTAGAAGGAATTGAATGGACACTACCTAATTTATAAGTAGCAAAAATAGGCAACCAGATAAAGCACAAAGAGTAATGATACACTTACCACATTTTTATCCCCCATATCATATGCCACATTAATTAAATAAATGAAGTGTATTTTAATATATATATATATATATATAAAGAAAAGACAGAGAATGGTGAAACATTCAAAATACCAAAAAATGCCCTTGGTTAATTCAAACATTAAGAATTGAAATTATTAATTTAATGAGGATAATATGGTAAATTCACATTTTTTCATATTAAAAAAATTAAAATTAAAAACAAAATCAGATACTAAGCCCTACTTGTATGGAACATAACTACCTATGTTATTTTTTCTTAATTCTAAAAATAAATATAAAATAAAAAAGAATACCAATTGGTACATGTGTAAGCATGTGCCAAAGGGCTACTAAATAAAATTAGAAAAACAGAAACTATTATTTTACATGATATGGTATGTACACATCAGCTTCTACATAATGTGGTATGAAATTGTGGTATAAAAATGTGGTAAGACTAGTATTATTCAAGCACAAATATTTGAAAATCATATAGGAGAAACAACTGTTAGATTTAGTAATTATAAAGACCTAGATAACTTGGAAGATTTAGAAAGTAAACTAGAGGAACATATTCATATGGCATTTGATAATTTAGAAATAAATATAATTGAGCATAATTTTGATAATATAGTAGATCAGTTAATAGAAGGCATAGATCATTTAGATAAAGAACAATATTTAGAAAAATATAAAACTTATGATTTCTACATAAATTATCAAAAGAAGAAATGAAGAAGTTAATGTAGACGTAGAAAAAGAAAATGAGCAAAATATAGAATATGATGCATCAATATTTGATCATGAATATCCAACCATAGGAGAGACTTGGAAGCATTCGAGATAATGCAGTTAGATAGACCTAAGACATTAGAAGAATTATTACAACTAGCTGAACATACTAGGATTATAGGAGATGACCCCCAATTACACTGTAAAATTGTAGCCAATTTACATATAATTTATCCAGATTTAATTATAAAACCAGCAGACATGCCTTGTAATTTATTAGACAAACAAGAATTTTGAAAAAAATAAAAAAATTATTAAACTTAAAAGTAATAAGACCTTCAAAATCTAGACATAGATCAACATCCTTCATAGTAAGAAACCATTCATAACTAAAAAGAGGTAAGGCTAGAGTTCTAGATAATTATAGAAGATTAAATGATAACACATATAAAGATGGGAGATTCACTAATATACCCAATATGGGAGTCCAAATTATAAAAATACCCCATATAAAATGAACTTTATAAATACACCCAAAACTCATTTACAACATAACAAAGAGGCTTTAACTTCTTATAAATTACAAAACTACCATAAATTTCTTAAAACAAGCCCAACCCCAAAATCTTATAAAAATACCCAAAACACTCAATAGAGCATTAAAGTAATTTAATAATCAATATTAAATTCAATAAGGCCAGCTATCATTTTTGGGGTTTTTTTTTGGTTTGTTTATAGAAATTCAATGATGGAGGGTTTATCTATAATATTAGTGCTAAGAATGGGTATATCACTAAATATCTGTATAAAGATAGCTATAAATTACCAAATAAAGATGAGTTTATAAATAGAGTTTAGGAGAGTAAATATTTTAGTAAATTTGATTGTAAATTAGGATTTTGGAAAATTAGATTAGCAGAAGAGTCAATTGAATGGACAATTTGAATGGCTTGTCATGCCATTTGGGTTGAAAAATGCTCCATCAATCTTTCAAAGAAAGATGGATCAAATTTTTAAGAAATATGATAATTTTTGTAGTGTTTATGTAGATGATATACTTCTACATAGTAAAAATAAGAATGACCATAGGAAACACTTAGAAATAATTTTACATAAATTTATTAAAAATAACATAGTCATTAGTAAAAATAAAATAGAATTAGAGAAGCAGGATATAGAATTCTTCAGAATGTATATTAAGTCAGGCACTATAAAGTTGCAAGAACACATAGCTAGGAAAGTTTTAGAATTTCCAGATAAATTAGAAGACAAAAAAAAAATTACAAGCATTTTTGGATTATTAAATTATGAAAAAAATTGTATCCCTAATTTAGGAAGAAGAATAGCAGTCTTACATAGTATAACGGGCAAGACATGACAAAAAATATTTAAATAGTGAAGATATCAAATTAGTTCAAAATATTAAGCAAGAAATAACTCAACTTAAGCCTTTGGTATTACCCTTAGGCCTCGTTTGGTTCATGGAATGAATTTGAGGGGATATCATTTCCCATGTCATTCCCCAAGAAATGGGAATGAAAGATTCATTTCCCACGTTTGGTAATGCTAGGAAAGTAACCGGGAAATATTACTTTATTTCATTTCCCATGTTTGTTTTGAGTAGGAATGGAAAACAAAGTTTTATAAATTTTCAATTATACCCATATTAAATCAAATAAAAAAGAAAGCATTTAATGATATATTGTAATTCTAAATTGTTAATGGGGATAAAATGGTCATAAAAAATATGTATTTAATGTTAGCTTATTTTCCCAAACTTTCCCATGCGAAGGGAAAACAAAACCCAAGTTGGAAGGATGGCTTCACTTTTCCCCCTACTTTCCTATAAGCCAGGCAACGATTTTCTATACATAGACTTACCAAACATGGGAAAACAATTGATTTCTCATTCACAAGTCTCCTTTCCAATGAACCAAACGGGGCCTTAGATAATAGTTATAAAATAGTGGAAACGTATACTTCATCAATAGGATGAACATGTATACTATACCAAAAAAAGCATAAAGAATCACCAAAATCAGGGGAACACATTTGTAGATATGTCTTAGGAAAATTTAGTGATATACAATCTAGAATGCCAGCAATGATTTAGAAATTTTAGGAATTATCAATTCACTGGATGCATTTTCTTTATTTTTAAATAATAAAGTTTTCACTTAATAAAGTTTTCACTATTAGAAATGACTATCAAAATGTAGTTTCTCATTATAATAAACTTACTATAACAAGCAATCATCCCAAAGATGGGTAAATTTTGTTGATTCTATTACACGAAATAGATTTACGCCAATCTTTGAACATATTAAAGGGAGTGATAATAATACTTCGACTGATGTCTTATCAAGAATTATCCAATGACAGGTATGGAATACTTTGGATCCTCATCATCAGGAAGCAAGAAAAGTGGTACCCCATTCCTTAGTGGGATGCCACTAAGCATAATTAGACCAGCATGCCGGAATAGCTGTGCAAGAGATTGTGAACCTTGTGATAAAATCACACTAGAGTTTGTTGACAGAAAGGCACAGAAATTTGCCAGAAAATTTCTGGAACATCAGAATGCTAGTGAAATCATGAGAAAATGGCAAGAGAAGCTGATTATAGCACTGAAGGAATTTTTGATCTATAATTATGAAAATGGAAAGGCAAGAGAACAATTGAAACTTTCTGTTTTGCAGAGACAACAAAATAAATCTAAACGGGACGAAGACGTTGCCATGAAACAGTTGGCAGAACGGGTTAATAAGATGAGCATGATCTTAAAAGACAAAGGCAAAGAGACTATTGAGTCCGTGATAGGCATGACTAAAGGAAAAGAGGTCATGAAAGCATGATGTCAACAACAGTCTTTGAGCCAAAATCCAATAACCCATATTTCCTCCAAGCCTTGGCAAGAGAAAGATTCAGATATCTCCTAGTAGACCCTAAAAGTTATATTTTGAAACTAGAGTATGAAAAGAACACCTCTCTCCAATTAGCCATCTAACTCTTTCTTTTTTATCTAAAGGATAACCCTCAACCAGGCATGAAACAGAAGAAGAATTGCATAACATTGAAAATATGATGGAATCCTAAAGAATCTCCCAATAGCAAAGGGATGTAGACGTAACCAAATCCCATGCAAACGAGCAAAATTAAGAATCTACTTGTCTAAAAAGTGACCACCCATCAATGTGAAAAGGCAAGAGGATTTGACACCACCAAAGAAGCGAGAATATTTTTTCAAAGACAAAAGCAAGAGCATAATGGTCGGTACAAAGAATTTGGTAAGATCAAAATAATCCAACGGGTAAAACTAGATCCTCACTTGAAGATCATGCGTAAGTCTATCCTTGTTTGGCCATTTTCAATGAGGTCTCTAAAGGGGGCTGCACCACCTTTGGGCTTCAATAAATAGAAACCCGTGCAAAAAAACCATCTCTAGTGGTTAAATTTTGAGGCCCTAAATGCTTGAGACTCACCTCAGTTGAATCTATTGAAATCCTTGAATCTCAATAGGACCGTACCCATATTAAGGGGCTATCTGGGCTTTGCCGAAATTGTTTCTCATTATTATTTTACCAATCCCAGTCCTCTCAATTGTGAATGAGTGTGCTCAAGCCTAGAGATATTAAGCATTTGCCAAGTGTTGTATGGTTCAGGAGAGGGAATGTCAAATGAAAATTACTTGACTCTTTGATTTGGGCAAATCAAACATTGACAGTTCATGTATGCCCTCAAACTTAAATGGACTTGAGTCTATTGTATTATATATTTTCTTAATTATATGGTAGATGTAAACATGAGCGGTTTCTCTCTCTCTCTCTCTCTCTCTCTCTCTCTGTAAAACTTAAAGAGTAAAAAGAGAGAAGCAACGCTTTGTAACAATTTCATCCTTGACTGAAGTTGTTCTTTGAATACTTCACCTCCAAATAGTTATCTTTTCTTCTTCAAGTAAACAACGAGCTTTCTCTTCCTCCATGGACGGCAAACAACAGAATGCTCTTCAACCATTTGATGAAGCATGGTTTGATGTAGCCAATTCATGTGGGAGGGAATTTGAACTTCCCAATATCTCTACTCCTATTAACCCACAATGGAGTGACAACGAAAAGTTGGTTTTCCTGGAAGACCAACAGCCTGATGTACTTGAAAACAATTATGAATTAGTGATTACCAGCTCCTCATGTTCTGGCAACGTAGTGGATTCTTTTCCACCTTTGAAAATGGTGCCTGCAATCACCACCTATGTTCTGACAGTCGATATGCAAGAAGGTATTTCCTTTGGTAACCATATGGTACACTTTCTCAAGGAAAAGCAACTTGTTTCTATGCCCACCCCTGCCATCAATTCCTCTCTGAGAAATCAAGAGTTTACTGTTAACTCTATCAACTCAACAATGATAAGTTCAGATAGTTCATCACATCTGGTGAATAATCCAACCCATGCTTCTAGATTCACTAATAATCCTTGATTTGGCTCGAATATCTACCCCCTACAATCTTTACTTCACCAAATGCAGGTCGAAGAGATTCAGATGATTGCATCATCAATTATTATGTCTACTTTTCTAGCTCTGAAGGCTGGTATATTCTTTTGGATCAGGTACCTATCCTCCTGTGAATGACCAGGAAATTAGATCTTTTATCACTGATTCACCAGCATTTCTCATAAATGTCTCACGTGGTCGGTGGAATCAAGTGGCTTATGTTCCAGTTATTATGACTAACATATATCAGGGTAGTGATGCAGACATAAATCATGTTCCAAAACCCCTTCAGAATGTTAGGCATAGTAAAGGAATTACCTCAAATGTGTACCAACCAGGAAAATCAATTCATACTCCTGATAAGATAGTGAAAATGGATGTTATCAATCACACATGAGGTTAAGGGGGAGAACAAAGCCTCTCTGCTGTGCAAGGTTCAGAAGAAAGAATTGTCTTCGCCTAGGGTTGAACAGAATGGAGAATTCAGTCTCTCTATTCTTATTGGGGTGCTGTTGTATGTTAGTTTCTTTTATAATAAAAAATATATTTTCTTTTGTTTTTTGGTTTTCTGTTTTAGTTGTTGGTAATTTTCTCTTCTAATTTAATGAAAACCTTTGTTTTTTATAAGAAGAAGTCAATAACCAACGCAGTGAGCAGATTTTAATATCAGTAATCATATTTCTTTTGTCTTTGGATTTATTTTAGAATGGCATGATTTTAGTTCTGGACCTTAATGCTAAGTAACAATAGTTTGTTGGTCATTATTAAGACTGTCTCTCTGAAACTGCATACCATTGTCCGGGGAAGTAGTTTTTATTTCTACTTCCAATTTACATAAACAAATCATTGCGTTTCCTTGAGATTCCATACATTTCTTAATACTTTTTGAAGTTTTAAAACCATCTATAGTGTTTATGAGATTAGGCGACTGATGTAACGCACTAATGTGGATTCATACATCATTTTCAGAGAATTCACTCAGTTAGTCAGTTGTGTATGTTTAAACACAAACATACGTCATCCATGTTGAAATACAGAGGTCGGAGCAAGCAGAAGCTGATAGGTACCAAAAGGAAACAGACAAAATAAGTATTTGGCAAAGTTCAATATCCCTTTCTCATTGATGCAATAGCATTTTATACATGAGGTTGTTAGGGCCAGCCTGTAGGCTGCCACGTAAGAACAGGTGAACAGCTAATCAAAAATGATAGAATGGCTAAAGTGGCCTTGGAGGAAAGCATAATGGTAAGGCATTCGTCCATGAGGACCAGGGATTCCATCAATTCCTACCTCCTTGAGAAGGAGCATGTCCTCATGCGATAAAGGAGGGAAAACGAGCCAGTATGTCATCTGCGATTTCCCAGGTGGCGTCGGCCTGTGGTAGACCAAACCATTTGATAAGCCATTGAACAACTGGAGAATTGTGTTGTTTGATGAGACGACGGTCAAGGACTGATTCAGGCAGCCATTGGAATTCATTGCCAGCAATTGTAGGTGGAAGATCAGGGGAGGGAAGAATGTTCTGACCCAATTTAAGCTTTAAAAGGGAGACATGAAAGACAGGGTGAATTTTGGCGGAAGGTGGGAGGCGTAGGTGATAAGCAGTTTTGCCAATGCGTGCTTCAACTTGATATGGCCCATAGTATTTGGGGGATAACTTGAAATTTTTTGGGGCAGCAAGAGAGGTATGTCGGTAAGGTTGAATGCGCAAATAAACCCAATCACCAACATTGAATTCACGCTCAGTGCGGTGTCTATCAGCATAGAGCTTCATGCAGTTCTGAGCTTGGAGCATGTTGGTGCGAAGGGAAGCGAGGAGCTGGTCGCTCTGTCACAAGGTCTGGTCCACTGCTTGAACCAAGCTTGTGTCCTGAAGGTACTGGGGAACGGATGGAGGAGGAACACCGTAGAGAGCTTGGTAAGGACTCATTTTGATGGCAGCTTGGAATGTGGTGTTGTACCACCATTCCGCCCATGGGAGCCAATGGACCCAAGTGGAGGGTTTGTCGTCGACAAAACAGCGTAAGTAATGTTCCAATGTGCGATTAGAACTTCAGTCTGACCATCACTCTGTGGGTGGTAGGAAGAGCTGCGGCAGAGTTGCGTTACCTGAGCTGTGAAGAAGGAGTCCCAAAAATTGGAAATGAACACGGGATCACGATCACTGACAATAGTTTTTGGCATGCCATGGAGCCGAAAAATCTCCTTGATGAATATGTCAGAAATTTTTGCAACTGTAAACGGGTGAGTCAAAGGGATAAAATGGCCATACTTTGTTAGTCGATCCACAACAACTAATAAAGCATTCTTGCCAGCAGACTTTGGGAGGCCTTCAATAAAATCAAGGGAAATGTCCTGCCATACACCTTGAGGAACCGGAAGAGGCTGTAAGAGGCCAGGAGGTCGGATCGCCTCATAGTTGTTTCTCTGGCAGATATCACACGAGGCAACAAATAATTTGACATCTCTCTTAATTCCAGGCCACAAAAATGAACGAGTAATACATTTGTAAGTGCGTAGAAACCCGGAGTGGCCTGCCATAGGGGAGGAGTGAAACTCTGTGAGAATCTTGAGGCGCCAATCGGACGTACGTGGTACAAAGATGCGATACCAGTATAACAAGAGTTGATTTTAAAAAGAGAATCCAGCGGGCACCTTTGTGTTGGTACTGAGAGCATTTAAAATGGCAATTGTATCAGGATCAGACGTATAAAGGGCTTGAATGTCAATGATGCCATCAAATATTGGGGCAGAGGTAGCAAGAAGGGCAACATCTTCGGACTGACGAGACAGAGCGTCAGCGGCTTTATTCAAACTTCCAGCCCGATGTTCAAGTGTGTAATTGTAGCCCAGCAGCTTGGCAAGCCATTTGTGCTGTGCAGGTGTGGTAATGCGTTGATCATGAAGGTGTCACAAGGTTTGGTGATCGGTGATGATTTTGAAGTGGGAACCGATGAGGTACGGCCGCCATTTCTCCACCGTAAAAAGGATGGCCATCATTAGGAAATAAGTAGATTTGTTAGTACGAAATTTGTATTGTCATTTCCTAGACTTGTTTACTGGATGTTTTGGCACAACTCATTCAACCCCATACATCCGAGGCATGACTTGACCGATGTGAGAAACTTGACTTCAGGTAAATCATGACATAATCATGCATTCATTATAGGATTCCTAGTTGGAGTTTTTTTCACTCAAAGTATTTTTATCTTAATCTTATTTTTAATAGGATTAGATTTTATCTCTTGAGATTACTTTCCTAGTTGGACTCTATTTTGATTTAAGTTAAAATACTATTTTTCATCCTTGACTTGATAAGGACATTTCATTGATACCTATTTGATCTCTTTGATAAAGATTGTTATCTTGAATAACAATCCTTGCATAAGTTGACGAATTATATAGTATTAGTGGTCTCAATGGTTTTTGATGTTTTTCATTTTGTGCCCATATTGATTCACAACAAATAGTCATAGTTGAATAGGTTAATTGGGTGTTCATATTGCATCAGGTTAGAAGTCTTAGTTGAATGGGTCTTATAGTTGCATTGGAAGTGTAGTGACGTGGGGTTTCTCTCCAAGTAGAGAAACTGGCTTTGAATAAAAAGGATTGTTGTTCCTTTTCATCAGGAGCTTTTTTCAACGCATGAGTTTTTGAATATATTGAATATGTTTTTGTGAAAGCTGGAGTTCTTATTTTTCTTAGATAAATCATCAAGTGTTCCTTGTCTACTTTGTGATTTATCAAATCCTTTCATCATTCATATTGCATTCATATGCACGTCGGTGACTCATACGGTTGAGGGCACCAAGACCGTGGTGGCGGTTTTCCTCCGGTGAGCTTGAAGCAATCGTGGCCAGTATTGCGTTCAACATAAGGAGTGTCGAAGATCATCCCGTGACAGAAGTTGAGTTACGAAGAAGTCGGTAAACATTATCTAGAATGTGTCTAGGATAAGTGTGTGAGTACTTCTTGTAATCATCGTTCTATAGTGGATTTGTGTTGGACTGAGGAGTCCCGTGGATTTTCCCCAGAGGTGGGGTTTTACCACGTAAAATAATTCTCTGCGTGTTCTTTTATTTTATGCCCAGCACGTTACAGGATTGATAAGCCATATCAATCCTGCTACCGAAGTTTATTTTTTATTTATTTGATTAGAATCTTAAATTGGCCTATTCACCCTCCTCTAGGCATTTTGAGTCATCCTGCATGTATTTTCAATTTCCTTTTCGTATGTGGACAAGGATTGATTACGCAAGGAAAGGGGCTTGCTGAGGTAAGCGATGGGGTGATGGTTTTGGGACAGCACAGCACCAATGCCTGTGTTAGAAGCATCGCATTCCAAAACAAAAGGTTGTGTGAAATCAGGCAGAGCAAGGACTGGAGTTGTGGCCAGGGCCTGCTTGAGGGCTGTGAATGCGTGGGTAGAACTTGGAGTCCAAGAGAAACTATCATGCTTCAACATATCTGTTAGAGGTTTGGCTAGAAGACCATAATGACGGACAAACTTCCGATAGTAACTTGTGATGCCAAGGAAGCCGCGCAGCGCTTTGAGGGTCTTGGGTTGGGGCCACTCTTGAATGCAATGGATCTTTTGGGGGTCGACCGCAACACCTGCAGCGGAGAGGACGTGGCCTAAGTAGCTCATGGAGGGTTGAGCAAAGTCACACTTGGAAAGCTTCAATTTTAGGCCATGATCACGCAAGACAGAGAAGACTGCAGTTAAATGTGTCAAATGATCAGTCATGGAGGTGTTGTAAATGAGGATGTCGTCAAAAAATACCATGACAAATTTGCGAAGAAACTGCCGAAAAATATCGTTCATCAAGGATTGAAAAGTCGACGGGGCGTTGGAGAAGCCGAAAGGCATAACAAGGAATTCGTAATGGCCCTCGTGTGTGCGAAATGTAATCTTTTGAACGTCATATAAATGCATACGGATTTGGTGATAACCCGATCACAAATCCAATTTAGAGAAAACTGTAGCGCCATGAAGCTCATCCAAAAGTTCATCGACGACGGGAATCGGAAACCGATTCTTAATAGTGGCATGATTCAGAGTGCGATAATCTACACAGAGACGTCATGAGCCATCCTTTTTTCTTACAAGCAGTACAGGGGAGGAATAAGGGCTGCAACTCGGTTGTACAATGCCAGCCCGGAGCATTTCCCGTACCAAAGCTTCAATTTCAGTTTTTTGGAAATGGGGATAGCGATATGGGCGCACGTTCATTGGCTAAGTACCGTGCATCAAGGGAATGCGATGGTCAATTCTGCGTTGAGGAGGAAGACATGTCGGAGTAGGGAAGAGATCAGCGAATTGTGATAAGAGAGGTTGAACTGAGGCAGGGGTGAACTAGAAGTCGCAGAGTCCGCAACAGAGGCCAATTCAGCAAGAAAACCCAGTCTTTCCTGAACTAAGAGCTGGGTCATCGCATGACAGTCCACCAAGGAGGCCTCAGTTTTGGTTTGACCCACTAACCGATGGATTTCGCCATCCACTTTGAAGACCATGATTTTTTTCTTAAAATTCCAACCGATAAAGCCCACTGTATCGAGCCAATCAGCACCCAGAATAAGATCGCAACCGGAGACAGCATGTAAATAGCAATCCGTAACAAGTGTATAATCCTGTAGAGATACCTGGACCTGAGAAATGAAGCCCTTGGTCTCAATGATATCATTATTGGCAACCTGGATTCGCTTGGGGGGTTGCGAAAAGTCAATAGTGAGGCCCAATCGTTTGGCAATATGTGGGTTTAATAGATTATGGGTGGAGCCGGTGTCTATAAAAACCGTGAGGCCCATTTTGCCAATAGAACCTTGAAGGCGCATTGTGCGTGTACACGGAGAACCTGTGAGCGCATGGATGGTCAGAGAAGGTTCAGACTCCTCGTGGCCAAGGGTAATCGTGGGTGTGCCATGTACGACTTCGTAGGTAATGGCTTCCTCGAAGGATTCATCAGAAACGTCCCAATCCGCATCAATCATGAGGAGTTGAGGTCGTTTGCAGCGATGACCGGCCCGGAAAGGTTCATCACAGTTGAAGCAGAGATTTTTTTCACGCTAATCCTAAACCTCAGCCTAAGAGAGCCTGCGAATGGGTGGTTGTCCCGAGGTAACAGATGGCGTTGCCGAAGCTGGTGGCAATCCGGGAGGGCGAGAGCCTGCTCCTAGAGAGAAATGCGGAGAAAATGGTCAGAACTGGATGCGTGTCGACTTCCGACGGTTATCAAAGGCGCGGGCTAATCGTTTGGCTGCATTCAGATTCGCCAGATGGTGAATCAGAACATTATCACGAAGCTCAGTGGTTAAGCTGCCCACATAAACGCCTTTAAGTTGGTTGTCAGACCAGTCAAGGGCGCGGCATGAAAGTTTTGTAAATCCGGCGTTGTATTCGTCGAGAGTGCCAGTCTGTTGGATGTGGGAGAGAGCGGAGTTAAAGTCCAAGGGGTCACCATAACCGAAGTGAGCTAGTAAGGCTTCGGAAAATGAGGTCCAGGATGGATTTGGAAAACGGGTCTCAAACCATCACATCCATAGGGCAGCGTCGTCAATCAAGTGTATGGCAGCAACTTTAACATGTAAATGGGGAGGGATCTCATGGAGGTCTAAGTAGCGCTCCGCAGTGGTCAGCCAAGCGTAGGGGTCCTTTCTAGTAAAACAGTAAAGGTCGATTTTTGGGGTGTGTGGAGAAGCCGGGGCTGTGGTCTGGTATAGGCGGTGAGAAGTGTATGGGGGGTTGGTGTTGAACAGGGGTGGGGGAACAAGCTGGGTGATGGGGACGTGGGAAAAAAAGGGTTGGGTAGTGTAGGTGTGGGTGGATGGGGGTTGGGTAGTGTAGGCTTGGGTGTAAGGGGGTGGTGTGGTAAAAATGGCGGAGGGAGGGGAGGTATGAGGGGAAAAGATGTGATGATGGAAAGGTTGGGAAGAGGATGAAGCATGCGAAGAAACCTGTGGTGAGTGATGGGAAGGTGGGGGACGAACGGAGCTGAATGAGATGGGGGGTGCGGTGGTGATGGGAGGGAGGGTTTGGGATGAGGGTGAGAGGCGATGAACAGCGTCTAAAAGGGTTTGTTGGAAGGAGGATTGTTGCTGGGTAAGGTTCTCAAGAGCCTTGCCAAAGGAAACCTGGACAGAGGAAAGGGTTTGCTGGACCTCTAGAATTTGCTCGCGGTGTAAATCCACCTCTAATTCGATGGCAGGAATGGAAGGGGGGGAGCTGGCCACAGGACTACCCATTGTCGTGGCTGCTCTGATACCAATGATAGGTACCAGCACAGTGTATTGAAAAACAGATAAAAGGAAACAGACAAAATAAGTATTTGGCAAAGTTCAATATCCCTTTCTCATTGATGCTATAGCATTTTATACATGAGGTTGTTAGGGCCAGCCTGTAGGCCGCCACGTAAGAACAGGTGAACAGCTAATCAAAAATGATAGAATGGCTAAAGTGGCCTTGGAGGAAAGCATAATGGTAAGGCATTCGTCCATGAGGAACAGGGATTCCATTAGAAGCCAGCTTCCCAGTGTCAGATAGAAAGCTCAAATGCTCTTGAGAGAAATGTGAATAGTCAGAAAAATGTTGAGCCAGGTCACTAGCATAGGTTAGTAGTGTTATTTAGCTCTCCCACTATCCTATGTTATGTGTTTAGTGCAGTACTTGTGTTTTGTTGCATGTGGTATAACAAGTAGCTAAAGCAATGAGTTAAATTTGCCATGTAATATATAAATAAATGGGAGCTTTAGTTTTAACACACCATATAGTTTACTAATTTGGTAAATAGAAATCCAATTTCATCTAATTATGATAAAGCCAAAGACTAAATATAGTACCTAATTTTACAATAATGTAATGAAAAAAAATCAAAATTACAAAAGATGCCATTATTAAATAAGAAAATTAGTTATTATACATAACTATCTTTACTAATTAGTATTTGAGACATAGAGTGGTTTTAATACCTAGGAATCAAATTTTGTTTTGGATTAGGCCAAAAAGGAGTCCCAGATTCGTTGGCCCAGCTTACAATTATTACTAAAAAGACAATGGTACCCTTCTTATTTAAAAGCTTGGCCTAACTTTAGATTCGTTGGCCCAACTTACAATTATCACTAAAAAGACAATGGTACCCTTCTTCTTTAAAAGCTTGGCCCAACTTTAGAACTTACAAAGTAAATGACGTTTTTACTCCTGTAGCTTTAAAAATGCGCAATTTGAAATTGGAGCTCTGGTTCGCTTTTGATTTCGTTCACTTTGACGTGGTGGAGCTTTGGTTCTTTTACCTGCTGTTGGAGCTCTGATCTTCTGGCATGTTTTCGTTCGATTTTCTTTGTTTTTCTCTTTGATTTTGATTATGTTTTCTATTTTTTGCATTGATTTTTATGTTTTCTTTGTAATTTTTCTTTTGCGTGCAAAATCAAGGTTAGTTTTGGCGTGCGATTCTGAGCACTTGTGCAATCTTATTTCTCTTATTTTGAGCTCAGTTTTGTTCGTTGTTACTTGATTTTGTGGCGCGATCTTTTTCGTATTGCAGTTTCATCTTCATATTTGAAATTTTATTTTTCTGTTGTTGAGGTATGTATTTTTTGGATCAGATTGTTATTTTAATTTTCTAGTTATTTTTTCATTTTTTAGAAGTTAATTTTCGTTTTCATTTTAGCTTTTGTGATCAGATTTGAGTTTGAGCTGCTGTTTGGTTGGAGAATTTTTTTAGAATTTGTTGTTGAGGTATAAGTACTTCATATCGTTTTTTCATTCATAGTTTTGGTATTATTTTGTTGATTTTTTTATTTTTGATTCATTTTTGTTTAGTTCAAGTTGTTTTATTGGGTTAGTTTGCTGGTTATTAGGTGTTGCATTGTAGTTTACTTTTGATTTGTTAATTTTATTGTTTTATGTTTTCTCTTACTAGGTGCTTCCTTATAGTTTTTGGTTTTGAGTTTCTTATTTGATGGGTTTAGGTTTCTCCTTACTAGCTGATGACATGTAGTTTTAGTTTGTGAATTTTTTTTGGGTAGATGCTGCAATGTAGTTTTTGTTTTGTAAGAACCAAAACTACTGCTTGACAATGAAAATGTGCCTTTTTGTTTGTAGCTATGCATTATTTACTTATTTAAATTGTTTTATGTTTTTGTTTCTTGTTTTGTTTGCATTTTCAAGGGTAATGGAGGTTTGCGTCATAGCCAAGTGCACATATAGGTAAGAAACAGTTTTGTTTTCAATTTCAGCAAACTCATCTATTGTTGATGTTTCGAAGACCATGTGTCTATGGTTTAGTGGTTTGAAGTTAGGTAGTTTCATGTTTAGGTATTCGCTTCTAGGTTATTTTAGTTGTGTACTAGAAACGGAGAGTGATTTAGACATGATGATGTCATATTTGGTGTAGCGAATGCAAAGAGTGTGGATATTTTTGTTAAGGATTTATGTTTGAGCAGTGATGATAATGGTCAATTTTGTGGAAATAAGGAGTTGATAGCGTGTGAAAAGGGTGAGTCATCTTGTTCTAGTACTGTTGAAGACAAAAATGAATTTTTGGGGAGGTCGAAGAAAGCAAGTGCTAAGCCTTTGTTGTCAAATAAGTGGGAGACGTATATACATCATGTAGGGCAAAAGTTTGATGGTGGTGTAGAGGAGTTCCGCTTGAAATTGTGCAAGTATGCTCTTGATGTAGGATTTAATTTTTTATATGCCGGCAATGACAAGAGGCGGGTGATTGCAGTGTGCTCAAATAAGAAGTTGGAGGGTTGTAGTTGTTGTGTTTATGCGTCCCTTTGTGAAGCTATTGGTTGTTTTGTAATTCGGACATTAAATAATATGCATACATGTGCGGGACGGATATGTGAATCAAAGAGTAAGATGATGAGGTCTCATGTTGTGTCCTCTTTCTTTGTTGATAGAATTCGCACTAAACCAGAGCTGAAGCCAGTTGAGATTATAAATGAGTTCAAAGATTATTATGGTATGAATGTCATACTACCATGCATTGTTTGGTCAAAAGTTAGTGAAACTAGAGGTTCATGGTGATGAGTCAAAGTCCTTCAATGACTTCGTGTGGTACGTGGTTAGTTTTTGCCACGTAATAATCTTTGAACCCATTTATAATCTCAATTGGCTTCAGCTCTGTTTTTGCGCGAATTCTACCAACAAAGAGAGAGAACACAACACGAGACCTCATCATCTTACTCTTTGATTCACATATCTGACCCGCACATGTATGCACATTATTTAAGGTCCGAATTACAAAACAACCAGTAGCTTCACAACGGGACGCATAAACACGGCAACTACAACCCTCCAACTTTTTATTTGAGCACACTGCAATCACCTGCCTCTTGTCATTGCCGGCATATAAAAAATTAAATCCTACTTCAATAGCATACTTGCACAATTTCAAGCGGAACTCCTCTACACCACCATCAAACTTTTGCCATACATGATGTATATATGTCTCCCACTCATTCGACAACAAAGGCTTAGCACTTACTCTCTTCGAACTCCCCAAAAATTCATTTTTGTCTTCAACAGTACTAGAACAAGATGACTCACCCTTTTCACACGCTATCAACTCCTTATTTCCCCAAAATTGACCATTATTCTCACTGCTTACACATAAATCCTTAACAAAAATATCCACACTCTTTGCATTCGCTATATCCAAATATGTCTAAATCACTCTCTGTTTCTATTACACAACTAAAATAACCTAGAAGCAAATACCTCAACGTGAAACTACCTAACTTCAAACCACTAAACCGTAGACACACGGTCTTCGAAACATCAACAATGGATGACTTTGCTGAAACTGAAAACATAACTGTTTTTGACCTATATATGCACTTGGCTATGACGCAAACCTCCATTACCCTTGAAAATGCAAACAAAAAACCATTTAAATCAGTAAATAATGTATAGCTACAAACAAAAATGCACGTTATCATTGTCAAGCAGTAGTTTCTATTCTTATAGAACAGAAACTACATTGTAGCATCTACCCAAAAAAAATTCACAAAATACTACATGTCATCAGCTAGTAAGGAGAAATCTAAACCAATAAAATAAGCAACTCAAAACTACAAGGCCTCACCTAGTAAGAAACAACATAAAACAATAAAATTAACAAATCTAAAGTAACTAATAACCAGCAGACTAACCAAAAACAGCAACTCGTGCTAAACTAAAAATCAACGAATTAATACCAAAACAATCTGAAGTACTCATACCTCAATAGAAAATTCTAAAAAAATTCCCCAACCAAACAGCAGTTCAAACTCAAATCTGATCACAAAAGCCAAAACGAAAATGAACTTCTCAAAAACTTAAAATAACTACAAAATTAAAATAACAATCTTATCTAGAAAATATATACCTCAACAACAGAAAAATACAATTTCAAGTCTGAAGATGAAACTGCACAATACGAAGAAGATCGAGCCACAAAATCACGTAAGAACAAACAAAACCGAGCTCAAAATAGGAGAAATAAGATCGCATTAGAGCTCAAAATCACACGCAAAAACTGACCTTGATTCTGCATGCAAAAGCAAAATTACGAAGAAAGCATAATCAAAATCGAACGAAAACATGCCAGAAGATTAGAGCTCCAATCGCAGGTAAAAGAACCAGAGCTCCACCACGTCAAAGCAAACCAGAGCTCCAATTTCAAATCACACATACTTTAAACCTACAGGGGTTAAAAATCATTTACTTTGTAAGTTTTAAAGTTGAGCCAAGCTTTTAAAGAAGAAGGGTATCATTGTCTTTTCAGTGATAATTGTAAGCTGGGCCAACGAATGTGGGACTCCTCTTTATCCTAATCCAAAACAAAATTTGATTCCTAGGTATTAAAACCCGAAGAGAAACACTCTTATGTCACAAATACTAATTAGTAAGGATAGTTATGTCTAATACCTCATTTTTCTTATATAAAATTGGTTTCCATTTTTTCCTATGATAAAGTTTCCATTATGTCAGCAATGACGGTATTAACCTTTTAGTGTTGGAAGATGTTTCAAGTTTTTATCTATATATATAAAGCAAAAGGCAAATAATACCAGAAAATGCCCTAGGTTAATCCAAACATTAAAAATTAAAATGATTAATTAAATGAGGATAATATGGTAAATTCACACCTTTTTCATATTAAAAAAAATTAAAATTAAAAGAAAAAACAGATAATAAATCCTATTTTTATGGAACACAACTACCCATTATCTTTTTTAATTCTAAAATAATTTTATTTTTTTTTAAAAAAAAGCATCTCGCAGACGCAGAAGCGCATGCGAAGAGGCTAGTTATTGATTATTCTTGTTTTAATCATAACTGGTCCTTAAATATTTAAAAGTTCACATGTATTCCTCAAATCCACCAATTTGGTCACATGACCAAATTATTCACCAGGCCAAATAAAACTCATGTTTTTGCTCAACGAGGCCATCTCCTCTCCATTTAGCGTTTCACATTTCGGCTCCATCAGAAGAGCAGATGTTACCCGGCCAGACTATAATGAGGGGTAAGTTATAAGGGGTAAGTTATAAGGGGTTCACTTTATAGTCATTGGATCAATCCAAGGGCTGGGGAGAATTGGGATAAAGTTGTGCAATCGGGTAGGTGAGGAACCCCAAAACCCGAATTTAATAATCCAGCAATGAAGTTGCCCAACAAAAAAAAAAAAAAAAAAAAAAAGACAAGTTCGAAGTTTGAACAGAAAAAACCCATTGATCTCAAACTCATAGCTGAGAGAAACCGCTAAGCTCTGAGAAACGGTTGAAGGCAACGGGCAACGAGGGTTGAAGGCAACGGGCAACGACGGTTGAAGGCAAAGGTTAACGACGGTTGAACGCAACTCCACTATCTAAACCGTGAAAAAGTATTTATTTTGAGTGGAAGGAGCAAAGGCGTGGATTCTGAAACAGTGAAAAGACGAAGCAGTGGAAGGGGAAGGAGAGAAGCCGTATTCGTTGGAAGTGATAGGTTCCATTTGTGGAGCAAAGCCGCACAAAGACCCAACACAGACACCTTGCGATTGTTCAATAACCAGCATTTGGTGAGTAATTTATGGAATTTGAGTTTAGGGTTAGAGTAACCGTTTTCCCCAATTTGTACCATGAATGTTGTTAGATTTGGCATCTCTTCTTTGTGCTTCACTTGCATGTTAATTTTTGCTTGGGTATATGTTAAAAAACGAATGAATATAAAGTCAATAACATGTCAATAATGATATGAATAAGGTAATGGTGTTGAATTGGAGGAGGCCCTCAAAACCTTCCACATTTGAAGCAGTGCAGAGTGCAGATTATCTCTCTGGAGCTAGAATATATATAATTTTTGAAATAAATATTATTTCCGTTGTTACTAAATTTGCCTGTTAAAAATGAGAACAGATAATAATAAACTCATGAATAAAAGTGCAAAGCATTTGAAAAAAGGTTGATCTATGACGATTATGGCTGACTGAAGAAAAAGCTAGAAAGAAAGAAGGATGTGGCAATGGCTTAGCGAGCAGATAGCAGAGCAGATGCTTTGCTTTGCTTCCTTCCACCATCTTTCTCATTTATTTATTTATTTATTTTGTGTTGTGTATGAAATGACAATAATTGTCATGTGTGTGAAGTGCAGAACTTGCCTAGATTGCACTCACACTCACTCATGCATCAACCATTGATTGGAGTTTGGATCCATAAATAAAACACATGCTAGTGCTTGTAATTCACAGAATCATTGCATTAACAGGTATTTGCACAAAATATGTCATATTGCTTTGATGATGTTAAAGCCTGTGATCAGTAATCCCTATGCGCATGTACTTTGTAAAATTTGTAATGTGCTGGTTGACTAGTTGTGTAAATACCAATGTGATTGTGCAAATACGTGGTAGTATATGTGTTCACGTTATTTCATCTTGTATTTCAGGAAATGGGATCCAACGTTGAGCTGGTATGGCCAGAGTCAGAGGCATATTCCTCACGGGTGAACAACTGCTCACATGCAAATTCATCCCTAGCTGTAATTCGAGCAAAGTTGAGTGCCGAACAATTAGAACAATTCAAGACATCATGCTTTGGCCATCTTCTGAATATAGATAAGATTCAGTTTAGCGGGCAGATTGTGCATGGGGTTGTGTTGCGTAGAGTAGCGGGGCAGGGTGTGAAAGACTTGGATGGACTGAGTTTCTTAATAGGGTGCGACGTTGCTCAGTTCACTCGTCAGGATTTCTGTTTGATCTCAGGGCTTCGTTTTGGGGAAGTGCCTGAAGTTTCCAGTGGAGAAAGTGATGAAATTAGACTTCAGAAAAGATATTTTATAGACGAAGGAATTACATGTAATGCTTTAGAAGAAGCATTTGTGAGGTGCACAGAGGAAGATGACGTCTACAAGCTAGCTCTTGTTTACTTTGCTGAGTTAGTGGTTTTGGGAAGGGACAAACATTTGAACATCAATCTAAATTACCTGACCCTTGTAGAGGACTTGGATGCGTTCAACAGGTTTCCATGGGGTTCGGTGTCGTTTGACAAAACCCAAGACAGTCTGTTTTCTGCACCAACAAAGTATGTGAAAAGCTTTGAAAATGAAGAGGGAAGAGGGAAGGGGAAATGTAAGGTAACCGGAACAAGCCGGAGAAATGAGAAGGGCAAGAAGGATAACCATGGTGAAGTGCAAAGGGGTGGCTGGAGTTTTAAAGGTTTCACGTATGCTTTCCAGGTACATGGTAATAATGTTCATGTCGTTATGTTTTGTTGACTTTAAAACTTAAATAATAACTTGTGTCCTGTGAATTGTGTAGATTTGGGTATATGAATTAATTCCTAGAATGGTGGACCTGAATTACTGCAAGGTTGTTGATCCGACAGCTCTCCCGCGTATTTTGCGATGGAGAACTACTACGTCTGTTCCCGAGATGAGAAAGTTGAACAATTATTTTTTCCAGAGCAAAGAGGTTTGGTTTGCAGCCCTTGGAACTATTTATAAGATTCAATGAAATTATGAAGTAGAATGATTGCATATGACTCTTGTCTGTTTTCTGAAACAGTCAGTTCAGTTGCGGGCGCTATGTCCAAGTGAAGAGGAAATGAGACAACCATATTGGAGTTGGCCACAGGGTCGCCCTGCTGTTGTCTCGGCAGAGTCAATTCCTTCTTCATGTGCTGACCTTGATGAGTTGAACAAGGCGGTAAGCTTGTTGAGGTCCGAGTTGTTTCAAGTAAAGCGGGAAAAGGACGTCCTTGAGTTAAAGGTCATACGGATGGAAAAAATTTTGGGCCACTGTTTAGGTCCTCATTTTGAGCAGGAAGTGAGAAGGGACATAGCTTTACTGAAAGAGAGGACGAATCGTTGTGTCGTGTCACATCTATTTAAGGGATATGAGGAAGTGGATGGCATGCAATGGGATGAAGGGCCAAGTAATAGAAATGAAGGAGAGGAAAATGAAGAGGAGGACATTGAAGGGGGTGAAGGGCCAAATAACAGAAATGAGGGAGAGGACAAGGAAGAGGAGGGGATTGAAAGGGGTGAAGGGGCAAGTAAGACAAATGAGGGAGAGGAAAAGGAAGAGGAGGGGATTGAAGGGGGTGAAGTGCCAAGTAAGAGAAATGAGGGAGAGGAAAAGGAAGAGAAGGGGATTGAAGGAGGTGAAGTGCAAAGAAAACCAAGGGAGGTAGAGGAAGCTCAAAGGAAAAGAAGTGAGGGAGAGCAAGTGAAAATAAAAAGCAGCAAAGGAGAGGAAGCGCAAAGAAAGAGCATTGAGGGAGAGGAAGAACTGCAAAGAAAAAGCAGTGAGGGAGAGGATCCGAAAAAAAAAAAGGAAGGGCAAGGAAGTGAAAAGACAGAGAAGTGAGGAAAAGGAAGTGCAAAGAAACCAATGTGAGGAAGAGGATGATGAAGTTATGTTGGTTGGCGATGACATTGGCGAGAGCACGGAGGGGACAAAGGTTGAGGTTACTCTCGGGGACATTGATTTGGATCAACCTACAGCTGTGTTATCTCAGTTGAACGTTTGGTTGAATGATGAAGGTCAAGGTGTGGAACGAGGGGTCCAATTACGGAAGAGGAAGAGGATTATTCCTATGTGGAAGATCGTTGAAGCTAGTGAAATGGTTAAAAAAATTTGCCAAAGACAACCGGACTTCGGACGTTAGACCCAATGAAGGCGATTCCGCATGATGATATGGTGAAATTGCTGAAACTTTGTTCGGAATGGCGCCATAACCCAAAGTAAGTCCTTTGTTTTTTGAGATAGAAGGCATGAGTGTATATATTTTTTAATTGTTGTGTTCTAAAACTTTTTTATATTCATAGTTTGGTGATGCAATTTGGCAACGTGGAAGCTGAGATTGAATTCTTCGCTTCCCTCGTCAAAGCTGACGGTTGGCTGAAAGGAGATGTAAGTTTAATTGATTATGCATTTGTTTGAATGTGCATAGATTATGAGATTGACAAGGAAAACATGTGCAGCACATTGATTTGGGCTTGTATCTCATCCGGAAGCGACAACAACAGTTGGAGGAAGTAGAAATATCGGATTGGACAACGACCGATGTATTTTTTATGGTATGTGATGCAGGATGCATAGGACCTAAATTGTTTAGTTTCCTAATTGATTTGTTAGTTTCCTATATTCTTTAGTTTTCCAAATCCTAGTAGGATTTCTAAGTTAGTTTTCCAAATCCTATTAGGATTTCTAAGTTTCCTATTTTATTAGGAATAGGATTTCTGTTTTACCTGGGGATTTTAATTCTATTCTCTCTAGGTTTTAGTTTGCTATAAATACCCCTATGTAGTTCTTTACAATTCAGATTTGAATATTGATTAAACATTCCTTTAAACTCTCTGATTTCTGCCTGCCTTCTACCTTTTCTTCCCTTCAGCTTTTCTTATCTTTTATGTCTTATTGCTCTAAGTGTTTAAACTAACACACCCAGGGCTGTGCTACATCAGTATGGCATAGGCCTTGACCAAGTGCAGTTAATAATTACAAATTATCCATACTTGCTTTGTGGAGTTGTTTAACCATTGATTGTTTTCTATTTCACAGAATCACATCCATACTTGCTTTGCGGATAATAAAAGGAAAAAGAGCAAGTTGGGTGGAAAATTAGAACCAGTTTAGTGAACGTTGTAAATGGCAAGGTTCCGGCTTGTGGATTGGATTGGCAGAACACGTATAAGGTGTATGTACCTTGTATGTTGCAAAAATATAAGCATTGGGTGGCTCTAGAGATTGATCTGATTCAGTGTGAAATCAAAGTCTACGATTCAATGGTTTCACTCATTCCAGATCAGAGCTTAAAGGAAGAACTCGGCCCCCTGTCAATTACGATTCCAAATCTTCTGCACACCCTCGACTTTTATGAAGAAGGTGTTTACGCGAACGAGTGCACCCGAGATTGGTGGTGTCCATGGCCAATACATCGTGTGGATGTTCCACAACAGGCTAATCAGTGAGCACAACTTTTTATTTAATTTTATTACTTTAATTTGTCAATTATGTTAGAATGTCATTAGTTGAATTGATCGAGTTCTTGTTTTGCTTCAGAGGCGATTGTGGTATGTTCGTGTTGAAGTACATTGAGCTGTTGAGTGCTGAGATTTCCTTAGCTACTTGCACCTCGCAGAACATGCCATTTTTTCGGTTGAAGTTGGCTGCAGAAATTGCACGGGGAGATGCTTACATGCCATGATATCGGTTGAACTTGGTTTAGGCACATGATGATGAAATAGGTTTTGGGAATGTCAAATTTCAAAGTCATGTAAATACACAATAGAGACCCATGGGTCCTTTTCGAATTCCACCTCTGCTCCTGAATTCTTCTTCGTCTTTCTCAATCTTAGTGTATTTGTGTACAGAAATTTAGATTTAAGTTACTGGACAATAACAATTAGAACCAAAATAGTGGCAAATATTATAGCGGATGCATGCTTTCATTTTGATTAGTGTGATATTACGCTATGTTTATTCTCATATTGTGCGAAATGTATATGGAGCTGGTTGCAGAGCATAGAAAAATGAAGACTCTGAAATGGAGATGCTGAGGGTTGGAGAGGAGAAAAGTAACTGGATCTGTAAATCTATTGCACGTGGGCAATCTAAATGGATAGGCAGATGCGTTTTTGAAGTTAGACACATGCCATTCCCATACATAGAATGTGCATATGGAGTGTAAAGTTTTTTTTGATGTAATGAAACAAACATCGGTGTAATATTGGCCTAACTCCTTCACGACATTTACCTAACCTCAACCAAACTGCATTGAATTGGGATTTGAAGACTGCATATGTGAATTTGGATTTGAAGAATGCATATTCACATACGGACTGATGGCTTTTTAAGTGTATTACATCATTGCAAAGTGATATGTCATCATTTATCCAAGCCACCATTCCAAATATCAGATCCCAATCTTTAAGCCGTTCAACATGCCTTGACTTAATCGCAATGGGTTGCATCTTAAGGTAATTCTGTAAGGGGAATAGGCTGCTATGGCCTCGCCTCCAATATTTTATTCAACCATGCCCTCCTTATAGAAACACATGAAAAAATGTCCCCAGGTGCAATGCTCTAAAAACTCCCTATTGGGTTCCGCACTGCCCTCGGGTTTGAATCCCTCTCTCCTTTATAATCGGTTAATAAATTGGTTGATTTTCTTTATTTTATTGGTTTTGGGCAGCTGAGTAACATAACAGTAATGTATATTGGTGCGTCTATATTGCATGTCTGTTGGGTCTATATTGCTTGTCTATTGCGTGCATATCTTTACATTTATTGCGTCTGTATTGATTTGTATTGCTTACGACGGAAATAAATAACAATACACAGGCAACAGACAAGCAATATACACGCAATAGATATGAAATATACACGCAATAGACATGCAATATACATCAGTCCCCAATTACATCAACCATAAGGAAGTCGTATTGAATAGGAAATTCTACTTAAGTTGTTCTTCCTACAAAAACAAAGAATAAGGACCGTTTCCCCCCTTAAATCTAACTGGAGTCCTACTTTTGCCCCCAATAAACATGCAATATTGGAGCAATAACATGCGATATACATGCAGTAAACACTCAATCAACTTTCAATAAACCTTCAATATCGGTTCAATAACATGTGAAATACATGCAGTTAACAATCATGAAACCTTCACGAAACATGTAAACAATCAATAAACCTTCAATAAACACTCAATATCGGAGTAATAACATGCGAAATACATGCAGTTTAATGAACCTTCAATAAACAGTCAATATCATGCGATTTACATGCAGTAAACAATCAATAAACAATCTATATACACTGAATAATTATGCAATCTTTAAAAAAAGGTATTGTCTTATTATTGCATCGTATTGGCCCTGTATTGTCATTTTATCGTCTTCGTATGACTTTATTTTTGTAAAGTAAGTGTAGGAAAGTTTTTACTGGGTTTCTGACAAGTAAATGCTTTTGTTTCAAACAATAATTTAAACTCAATGCTAATCCACCTATTTCAATAACAAAAATTACAAATTGGGTTTGAAAAGTCATTGGTGGTGCGTGCAACATGTGTTTTTGGGGAGAACTTTTACAATCCTTGAAACCGTGCACTTAATTGGTCATTAAAAGAACAAATAATATGACAATTGATACAACTAATAAAACTAATACCAAGTCCTTAATGGACTTCAGCATATTAAGCACTGTAGCATCATACGTGTCAGCTTGCTGATCTGCTTCAGCGGAGGTTACATCAACCCATTCGAATCCATTGCAACTGGTGGCTCCCTAATTGCAGGCATCATATATGCAAAATAATTCTGTCAGAGTTAGACCTAGGATTTTTTTTCACCCACATACATATTCTGGAAATGAGAACTTACATAGGAGGTTAGACACTTCCAAAATGCCTTCCCTCGATTTTTATCTGATTTTGAAACCCGAAGAACCATTGCAGCTCCACAATACTGACACCTCTTTGTTTGAGCGGGAGATGAAGACGAAGACATGTTGAATCTTATCACTTGTACCTCTTCTCACTCAGATCTTCTCACTAAAACCTCTTCGGACTCATACCTTCTCAGTTATACCCCTTCACTCATAAGTCATAACCCTAAACTTCTCACTCAGCTCTCTCTCATCTCTGCCCAAATCGAATTATATCCTTCTTTTCTGTGTGTGGGTGGGTTGGTCACGATCTGGACACCTGTACCGTCAGAATTGTGACACATTTTACTCCGATAAGCGATATACTATTTCACAAACAATAATTAATCTTACAATTGAGGGGACACTGCTTTAAATATATTATTTTCTTTATATTGCATTAAGGCAACTAGTTGGATAAGAATCCGTCATTTAATAGGGGTAGTGTGGTGTGGGAAAATGAAAAAGTATCTGATGGGACCTTCTGTCACTAGTCAGTAATCCATCACATTTGTATCAATGAATTTAATGGCGGGAAAAGCCTAACAATGGCTATGGAAATAGGTTATTAATTGACTTTTGGACGGTCTGACTCCCTTTGCATTTTGATGACGTTTTCCCTTCGCCTGTCTTATGTTTTGGGTGTTGAGTTCAGTTTCTTTAAAAAGTGTCAACTTGGTAAAACCCCAAGGAAACACCTTTTCAGAACAGTGCAACCAGAGGCTAAAACAAACCCAAACCCCCGTATATTCTCATTTCTCCCCTCTTGCAGTCCTCAAATCGTTCCATTCCAAAAATATTTCAATGAATTCCAAACATTACACTACAGTCGGAGGAAAGAGAAGGAAGCATCTCGATCCGGATGTGCCTCAAGCCTTCATCCCGGAATTAGCTTGGTTTAAAGTGATGTTATACGTGGCAACCAACTCCTCGGAAGATCTCTTTCGTATGGCATGTGTGTGCCGATTGTTCAATACGTTGGCAAACACTCCACAAGTGTGGAACACAATTTCAATGGAAAAGTACCAAGACCATCCTAACTGGTACTCTGCCGCAGCGCAAGTCCGGCATTTCGTGGACCAATGCAGGGCTTGCCAGAACCCTGAGGCGATATTTAGAGAAGCGTTCGACATGTTTTTCAGGCAGGGTAATGTGGAAGCATTGTTTGGGATGCGCGTTGCAGCCACGGCAGGCCATATGGAAGCGTCATATCTAGTTGGACTACTTGGCATGTCCGGAATTGGTCAGTCAAAAGAGGATGCATTAGAATTCTTGTGTTCTTTGAATCAACGTAACAACATTGATATGAAAGGAACCAGGGATGCTTTGAGACGACGATTAAGCGGAATTTTCTCTGTTGGAAGACATATCGTAGATATGTTTCACTATGGGAAGATTAAGTTCAATCAGTGCAGCGCTTGTAACAACAACGACTGGTGTTTTGTTATTCCAGGCTGGCCTAGTGAAGAAAAGATCAATCCTGCCTTCTGGACTTGTTGCAATCGATGCAAATGGCACCGTGAGAGTGTTTTTTGGTTCAAGGTGATGCGTGTCTATGTTGTGCCAGGGAATCCATACCCTTATAATTAGTTGGAGTATGTTTCTATGGTTTTTATGCGTGTCTATGTTCTACACATGTTGTTTTCTATTTCATGTTTTAATCTATTTTGTCTGGTGTTTGTGCTGTCCTAGCCCGTTTTATATATAAATGTATAATATTTGCTATATAGTGGAATTATTACTGACATAATTGACGGCTAAGAATGACATTTTATTGACACAGATATTTTGCACAACTGCAATCTTAATATTTGGTAAACGAAAACGCATGCATGAAGTGAGTATGTGTCTTTTCACCGGTTCTTGGGAATGACATTTTCCCACTTAGCATATCCCAAATGATTGGGTTACACGTTTCTTAAGCAAAACTTGAACAGTGAAAGACTTTGAATAATTATTTCCTGATGTTGTAGAATGGATGGCTTGTATATTTCCATTTTATGTTTGAAAACATCCCTTACACCTAAAAAGAAAAAACATTAACAAATTGAAGAAGAGAGAAACTGATTAGCACCAGAAATGGTCTATTCACACGGAAATAAAAATAAAATTAAAAATTTGGAGTAAATATAATTAACAAATGTACAAGCTAACAAGTAATATAACAATAATAATAAAAATAATTTTGGATAAATAATAATAAAATACTAATGTAGCGTAACCATGAAACAGGGAATTGAGGAGGAAGATGAAGTGTCATTGAGGTCGTAGCAATTTTCGGAACATTATTGTGATTTTTGTGTATTTAGTTATGAATTTTCTAAGAAAAAGTCATAAAATAATAATTAGGGTAAAAGGTAAGGATGTGGCCATGTTGACTGACGCACACTTGTCAAGGGGTGAAAGGTGAGGGGCTAAGATCGCGCCAGGTGTCCATGTGGCAATTATTTTGGCTTTTTTAGTGCAAAAATCTTTGAAAAAATGCAATAAATAGTAGGAAAATCCTAAAAATGCCCCGAAAAATACTCCGGCCCCCGTGTGACGTTATAAACGAGGGGAACCCATAGATCATCCATTTCGCAATTAAAAATTCAAAAATGATTTACATAACTCACTTTCCTCTTAACCCTAAGTATATATGTTGTTCACTTTAACTTCAATAACCTACTTCAACAAGCATCTCCCGTTAATGTTCGGAATTGTTTTTTAAAATGCGTAACCACTAATCGGGGAATTCAGCAAGGGAGATGGAGTGTCCATGAGGTCGTAGCAATTTTCGGAACATTATTGTGATTTTTGTGTATTTAGTTATGAATTTTCTAAGAAAAAGTCATAAAATAATAATTTAGGGTAAAAGGTAAGGATGTGGCCATGTTGACTGACGCACACTTGTCAAGGGGTGAAAGGTGAGGGGCTGAGATCGCGCCAGGTGTCCATGTGGCAATTATTTTGGCTTTTTTAGTGCAAAAATCTTTGAAAAAATGCAATAAATAGTAGGAAAATCCTAAAAATGCCCCGAAAAATACTCCGGCCTCCGTGTGACGTTATAAAACGAGGGGAACCCATAGATCATCCATTTCGCAATTAAAAATTCAAAAATGATTTACATAACTCACTTTCCTCTTAACCCTAAGTATATATGTTGTTCACTTTAACAAGTATATTTCCTTAATATTCGTTATATAATTTGTACTAATACAAGAATTAGTTTCCTTTCATATATAAGGATGTCAAATTATCTGTTTTGGTTATAATAATGTACATATATAATAAATGCACCACTACTTCGAAGCCATAATTGGAACTGCGCATGCGCCTAGAGCTTTGAAGACGTCAGAGATGGTCAATAAGTTGTCCATATGCACCTGCACCTAGAGTTTTCAACACGTCGGCGGTATTCAATAAGTTGTCCTTATGACGCCGCATTGGGAATCAGTAATATATTTTCTATCATGTCCAATCGCATAAACATATAATATAAATAAATAAAGCAATAGTAGGAGATGAACCAGTACAAAAAACAATATATAACTGGTCCAAAATAATGCCATAACCTTGTCACAAAACCAGTCACACATGCTTTTCCATAAACCTTACCCTAACATATAATACATAAAGGCAACATTGCATATGATGCAACCATGTCCAAATCTGATACGTGATCACAAAAAAATGGACATGGCAGCAACATATGACTGAAGTAGATTGGCACTTTGCATCGTGTTATCGTAATTAAAGACATGAAAATATGAAGGTTGAAATCTTCTATAGTAGTAAGCATCAAAATAGGTTTGAAGCAGAGCTTAACGAAAATTCCAGTTCCTCTTATTTGCCTCTACTCAAACACGATAACCAAAATGGTTACTTCCCTTGCTGAGTATATTTGTTAACGTCGGAAACGGTAATAGATGACCAATCAAACCCGGGTACGACGAGTTTTGCATAGGACCGGAAGTAGTCGAATCCAGCTTGCATCACACGCTTCTTTGACTCCTTTGCATTAGATGAGTTCTTGTATTTTTGAACAGCTACACTCCGAAGTCGTTTGTGTCTACGCTTCATGCGCTGCAACTTCGCCCTATCCAGATTGGCCTGCCTTTTGTCATCTTCAATTTGGCCTTCAACAAATTCCAAACGTACCCTTGCCCTTTGGATTTCATCACCAAGTTGAAGATGCCTCTCCTTCCAGAAAGCAAGAACTCTTTCAGACTCAAAACTTCCAACAAAATGGTCATTCTGTCTAGGAAAGTGACATTGCTTGTCTGGTGACTCACTTGCGTTTCGAAGGCGGTCTTTGTTTGGAGGGGTGTTTATTACGCTCACATCAAACTTGGTTAGTAAATCCATTCAATGGGGGGAGAGAGTTTCTGTGGAGGAGAGAGTTTCAGTAGATGGAGACACATTCGGTGGAGGAGTGAGTTTTTTGTGGAGGGAGAATTTTTATGAAGGGGGTGATAGTAATACCAATAAAAAAGGGTTCCCGCCAAAAAAAAACATTTGGTTGACAATGTATAAATGAAAAAAGGTCTCATACAAGCTAAGTTTAATCCTAACTAGTTTGTTTAGTTTGGTTGGGTTCACTAACTAGATGTCACTTCCATTGAGTTTCTTTCAACCACTAACAGTGGTGTAAGGAGAGTGTGAGGTTGACATGCTTGAAAAGCAAAACCTGACACCTGTTTTTTAAAATTGAAATAAAGTAGATATGTTGACTACACGCAAGCTTTGGTATGTTGGTCTATAAAGCTATGTTCCATTTCTCAAACGAAATTGCATCTGCAATCCTCATCCTCCAAAACAAATAGGATTATTCAAGTATGTCAACCTCTTCAGGCGCCAACAACACAATCGAAGATGAAAAATTGGAGTCGCAGGTTCCGTTTCCACGTTGTACTCGCCGACCCCTTCCATTTTCAACATCATTTGGGAGTGAGGGGGACTCCGATGATCCATTAGAGGCAATAGATGCAGTCAGTACCAAGCTGGATTATAATTCCAGACTGATCAATTCATGGCACGAGAAATGTGTTGAAGACGAGGCCATTTTGGCTGATCTTAACATTAGAGTGAACAAAGCGTTCTCCCAAAAGAACAAGTACTTGAAGTTGAGTCATAAAAGGAAGCTGAAAGCTGAGGAGTTGGATGCAGTAATGAATGATGAAATTAAAGGTTGTTTGATGAACCATATGCGATGCGAAGAGCACCACAGTGAACTGGAGTTGGCATTCAACGAAGGATTCGAAAAATTCCGAGCATTCGCGGCAACAACTCATACAAGTTATAATTGGGACTATGTGTCCCCTGATGCTGTGAGAGAGATACTAGACGATGGTGGTGACATGAATGAGCATAAGCACGTCAAAGCTGCTCGGAAGAAGCCGACCGATACGACTAAGTGATTGCGGCTACAGCTGTTCTGTTGGTTGGGGGTGATCGTGGTATTGCACAAATTAGAACTATGTTCCTTAATGTCATTATCTAATATAAAATAATACAAATATCAGTTTCATTTGCTTCATATATAATTATTGGGACTATGTCTTGCAAGTCATCATGTGTTCCTTGTGTCTAACATTATATTTTGCAACTATGGAAATATTATTCAATAAGCAGTCAATATCACAGCACCTTGGTAATCAGTAAAGCCCCATTATCATGACACGTGAGTCATAAGTAAAATGCCATGTGCTATACATTGTGTAGTGAATGGTTTATGGTTTATGTATATATAATAAAATTCCAAATATTGTTGAATATTTATTTGTCTAAATCACTGGGGACATGAGTGACCATAAGCACGCGAGACCTGCTAAGAAGAAGCTGACCAATACGACCTAGTGATTGTGGCTACCGTTGTTCAGTTTATTGGGGAGATCGTGCTATTGCTAAGAGGGAGCACATAAAATGCTTTGCAATCAAATTTTCTTTTGTGTGTGGAATTATGAGTAGTTCAAATGTTAGTGTACCCTTTAATATTACCCAACCATTCGAAAGGTGATTAGCTGCAATGTACTTTTTTACACGTTGCTTTCTAATCTTTCTGTTCCAACAAAGTGCTTCAAGTATCCTTCAGCTACGAATGTTTGCAAAATCGTGCACCTAATAACCAGTCCAGCTCAGATCTTAATCACCAGTAAAACACTAGATCATAACATTCGCAAAAAGTGGGTGCTGCTACAAATGATGCGTGCTGCTGGAAATCATTACTGGTAATGGAAACAATAGCTGGCTGCTGGAAATGCTGCATTAGCCTGTCATATAATCAATAAATCTCTATTCAAACATAATTCACCATAAACTACCCATTTTACAAGGTAAAAGTCATTTCTTCTTCACATAAATCAAAATTTGATGCTTTATCTAATGTCTATGAAAATTTCTAAATAGGGAGAAGACGTAAAATTAACATGTGTCCAAATTTCATGCAAGAATGAAACCAAGCAAATTTTCATTTCAATTATCAATGGACATAGTCAGAGCTCATCGGTGGACATGAACAAAAAAATAATAATAATAAAACTGCATCTAGAAAACTTCACCTGATCATTAGTCTTCATAATAACCGGGCTTCGTATAATAGAAACCTAAATCATTGAGTTGGTCCGTGCATCCTGTAAAATTCGTCAAATAATGGGTCACTAAGATCTATTGGAGTTGATTCGTCATTGTTCGACGGTGATGTCCTGCATAAACATCAAACAGAAGCACATAAGAACTTTACCTATTCAAATTTTAGGTCTTATTATAAATAGTGTTAACATCTTACGGTGTGTTCAAATTTCTTGGGCATTGTCTTCTATCATGACCAATGTGTCCACACTCCCGACAGTGTCTAATCCCTCGCTTCATTGCCTTTTCCTTTGCTCCCGTTACTCGTTTCGACCCTCCATTGCACCTTACTCTCTTAGGGTCTTTCATATATTGTGTTTGAGAGCTGGACCCTCCAACTTCGTTATTACTTGGTCCATCCTTCAACAACTTCAACTTCACCTGCAAACTTTTTAGAGTCTCTGACAGTAGCTCACATCCTTCTTCACACATTAATGCATCCTCAACCACATCTGAAGCAAGTCGGGACATTGTACTCCGCTTTATTAAAAGACCAGGATCTGCAGAGTCTTTAATTTCGTTGCCATTTGCATCTGACACCAATCCAAATTTCGCAGTTTTCTTTCACCTCTTCAAAATGTATTTATCGGGCATATATTCAATCTGGTCCCTTCTGAACAATGCTAGGATGTGCTTGCAAATAATTCCAACAAATTCAAATCTTTTGCAGCTACACGATGCGTGGTCAGAATCTTTGACATATACGACTTCTGCCACTCTTGTTTCCCAATTTTTCCTTTCGCTCACATTAAAGACAACTTTAGAAGCATCCTCTGTTTTCAGCTCTAGGAAACATGCTGTACTTTGTATTAGTTCTTGCTCAAACTTTTGAAACATTGTCCTTGTGTACAAGGTAGCCATTTGTTTGTTCATTGGCATCGGTAGAATACATTGAGCCACTTCAAATGCATCTACGTGATCAGCAACTAACTCTTTTTGACGTTGATGAGAAAGTGCCCTCTCAAATCTTATTATGAAATCCATCAACGAATTTTTCCTTGATATGTATTGCTTGAAGAAACCATGAGAACATTCAGCTCTTTGGCTGCTTGACATTCCAGCGGCAAAAAAGTGTCGTGCGTAGGCTGGAACCCAAGATTCCCTTAAATCAAACATTGAACTTACCCATGGATGGTCAGTCAAACCAGCCTTTGTAACCACAATATTCCATTTTGCATCAAACTCATCCTTATTGTCAGTATCCCATATGGCTTTCTGGAATTCACCCCAATACTCCTTATAAGCAGAATGTGGTAACTTAACAGAGAACTTTGATGTGATGTGCCATATGCAAAGTCGATGAAATGTAGTCGGGAAGGCTATTGAAATCGCTCTGCTCATTGCCGCATCTTGATCTGTGATGATCGTTTTAGGTTCGCCACCTGGCATGGCTTTCTTAAACTCCTCAAACATCCAAATAAACGACTCAGTCGTTTCCTTGCTCAAAAATGCGCATGCTAGGACAATTGTTTGACCATGGTTATTAACTCCCAACATTGGTGCAAATGTCAAGTCGTATCTATTCGTGTTGAATGTGGTATCGAATACAACAACATCTCCATAAAACCCGTACGCCCGTCTAGAAGTTGCATCTGCCCAAAAACATCGACTAAACCTGTTATCGCCATCTCCCTCAATCTTGAAATAAAAAGCCTCATTTTTTTTCTGTTCAGCCATAAAATACTCGGTCACTAGTTCAACATCGTGGTTCCTCAGCTTCTCATTCACACTACATTCAAGATTGTACATATCCTTTTTGATAAAACCGATTTTATCCATTCCTCCGGATTGCACCTCGAAAATACTTACCTTCTGATTAATGGGAATATTAACCGAACCCAACTGTTTTGTAAGTACTTTTGTAGAATCTGAAATACGACGGTGTGATCTCAGTAAATGCATTCTTCCTGAGGGTGTCATCTTATGATTGTGTCCCTCTGCAAAAAGAGAGATGGTATACTTCTTGCTCCCATGTGTCTTCACAACCACAATCTTAGCTTTGCAATTGCATCTACTTATTCCCCGCTGTCTTTTTCTCTCCCGAGTTTCATCATTCCGGTATGCACCTTGTTTGCAACATACAAATTCTTTTCTCAGAATCTCTTTCTTATTTTTCCCCCAAAAGCTGGAATGAAGTCGAATACCAAAGCCAGCCAAGAATGCATATCTATTATAGAAATTATAAACGAGGTCAAGCGAGTCGAACTTCATCCCAACTGCTGGTGTTTCCTCATTTCTTACTTCAGGAATGTAAACCCTCCCATTAGCTGTTACAGAGTCATCACTCTCTGAGCCCCCAGACATTTTATCCACGTATATTATTGATCTACTTCTATATTACTGCATAGCAAATGTTAATTCATTAATCAATCATTACTGCATCACAACTTATCAATGCATTCCACTTACACAAAACATTGCCCAAATTGACACAATACACACATAGCCTAGCTTGTTGGATTCTGATTACACAAAACACAAGCAAAATTTAATAATAGTTACGTCATCTCTTGTGAAATAATCTGGAAAAAATAACATTAGAACCAACATGTTCAACTAAGAACTCAAATGTAATTCAAACCAGCAATTACAGAACTTCACCCAATATCCTCTCCAAATGCTTACTTCTAATGCCATTAAGCCTAAGTTTAGGATCTTTTACCTACATTTCATAATTTTCCAATCCCCCTCCAAACAAAAATAATCAACTAAGTATATTGAATATTCATAAGGAAATGACGCATTATTGATAGCAGAGCAAATGACGCATTATTGATGCCACAAATGACAAATTTCCCACCCTCACAAAAAACAAATCAAACCCAGCAAAATCAATCCAGCAAGAGTGAACTTACCTCTCAAAGTCAAATGACGCATTATTGATAGCAGAGCAAATGACGCATTATTGATGCCACAAATGACAAATTTCTCACCCTCACAAAAAACAAATCAAACCCAACAAAATCAATCCAGCAAGAGTGAACTTACCTCTCAAAGTCAATCGGGAGTTCCGAACTCAGTCAGCTTCAAAGAATGTGGTGGACATTAGAGAGGATTCTTTCGTAGTGGAGACTCCATCTCTACCAAAATCCAGGAACAACTGCAGCAGCACGAAAAAGAGATATGCTACTTTGCTTTCATCTGGAATCTCTTCTGCTGAACGAAAAAGAGAAGGGGTTTTCACTTCAATCATAGAATCAAAACAGGGCAATAGCTAGGTAAAAGCCATTAATCATCATACCGAGGATACCATAGATCGCAGGCCTTCCAAGAAGCTGATGACAATGGAGCGATTATAGAGTTTGGGAGCTTTGGGAGCTTTGGATCTTTCTAATTGTGGATTTGCATTACATTAAAAAAAAAGAGGATTGTGTTCTTGAGTTTTTCACAGAGAGGGAAAAATCTTCAGCTGAAGTTGGGTTTCCAAACGGGTCAGATTTCAACCCGGTTCTACATGCACCCTCTTTTAAAAACTCACCGTTGGATGAAATCCAACGGCTCTTACATACCCCTCAAAAAAACCCCTTATAACTTTCCACTCACTATAGAAGCACTCGATGTTACCGTTTAATTGAGATCTTTTTTAGCAGCCTAGGCCCAGATCAATGCCTCGTAACTTTAAATTCTGGCCCAGCGAGGCCTGCTTGAAATCCATTTGAAATGCTTGGGTTCCCTCAAAAATGAACATCAAGGCCACAAAATCAGATCAGAATTTCTTCTCTTGGAGCTGCTTCTGGGGTCGAGGACAATTTCTTGTTTCCTGGTCAGTATCTTTCTGTTTCTCCTTGCTTATTGCTTTACCGTGATGACTTTGCTGCTATTTGACAGAGATTTGCATGAACCACACTACCACTGGGATGAACCATGTTTTGGAGGGCGGGGTGGGGGGTGGGGCGAATTTCTTTGATATGACCAAATACTATTTCTCTTTGTGTGTACCCATGGAGGTTGCACAAAACTCAGATTATTTAGTGCTGTAGAATGGATTAATTAAGAAAAGTGGCATTTCCAGTCAGTTGCTGCGTAAAACATGGTAAATGGAACGCTCTGTACCAAATTTTGTATATTATTTATTTATTTATTATGCAATTTGAAAACCATAATTATTTTCTTTATCAAGGAATGGAACAAAGTTAATTGATATGTTATGTTAGCATTTCAGGGTGTTGCATTAAGTGGCAACTCTTTTTTCTGAGAGACTATTCTCTCCTCCCCCAGCCCTCACATAATTAATCCCCAAGCCCTCTCTTTTTCTTTCACATTTTCAGAAATTTTGACATCAGATTTTTCAGTGGCGGGACTGAACCTAGCTCCTTGTACTTTTTATCACATTAGTTGTTGTATTAAACCTAATTCCTAATTGAACATATTCTTTGTTTTACATTGAATACTGTTTCCTCATTTGCCCTTTTCAAGAGCTACTCATTCTTCATTTTGAAATAGATAGTTTTATGAATAATGTCCAGGTATGGTTCTGCTTGACGCTGAAGGGTACAACATAGAGGGTCCATTATAATCTACCAAATATTCAAGTTTGGAAATTAATTCCTTTTTGTTTTTCTTAAATGATCAAGGGACATAGAGGGCTTCAAAGAAGTTGTTCTCCCTCCAGGGCGAGGGGCACCACCATTCCACAACGTTGATAAAGAGTAGATTTTCTCTTTTGTGGTATGCTTCTACTGTTAAAAATCTTCCTCCAGTTTTCAGTTTTAGTTAAATTCAATGTTATTTATATTTTTGAAGTCTTTTTGTTACTGCATTATTCCAGGATCATTACGAAAGAAATTAGAGTAGTTAATTCCATAATTTTTTTTATTAGTGATATCGAGTTTTGGCTTGTTTGATCTTCAAGACATTGAACCTCATTACCCATCACTTGTGGTTGAGCTCATATTTTCTAACTAACTCATGTATCCACCTTGAAACATTAATTTTAACTTTTTTAATCTGTTCTGTTCTTTTGTATCAAATATTGGAAATATATGTTCAGAATATAAAACCTGTGCATCCATACAACTAACTGAAAAGACTCACGTTTAATGTAAACTGAATTGAACCTATATTAGTACATAAAGAATTTTGATGAACCAAAAGAAAAAAAAATTCCAGATGAGGAAGGGATGCATATTTTTATTTCTTATGAAACATAGAACACTAGAGGTTATATGGAATGAAAATGGGAAAATATGATAATTCCATGATAAGTTTTTTTCGTTTTCTTTTTGTTACAGAGGGGGTCCAAGACCCAATAGTTCTATCATAAATTTTCAAAAATGAAGATATCAACTTCTCATTGTAGTTCCAAGTTCCAGCTGGCTCTCTACAAAAAAGGTTGGAGTGATCTTAGCACTCTCAAGCTACGTAGACCAAAGAATATATTAGAACATAGCTGATGTAAATTTGAGTTTCATATGCATTACAAAAATGGGTTAGGGTGGTAGTAAGCATTACAGTTTACAGACGGGGATTTGGCTAATCTTTACTTACTACTTGTGATTTTGTTGTCTCTGTTTAATCCCACTTGGCTTACTCTAAGCTAAATTTTGGTTTTATTATTTCCCATGGTACCTCTTTCTATAATTAAATAAGAATTTCTTCTTGGTGTGTTTGGATAGTATTTCAAGCATCTTCATAAAGTATGTGAATTGATTACGTAATCTTAAAGGTTTCAGTCAAAAGGATCAAAGTTGTGTTTTCATTCTTTCTGGCATTTATGCTGTATGAGTTGAACAATTGCTTGTAATTAAAACTATTTGAAAGTCATCATATATTCATAATGTCTTTCTAGACAAAATAATCGCAGTTTAATGTAACCAAGATCTTTTGCTTCATTTTAATATTCAATGATTGGCTTACGTAATTTATAAGCTTTCGTTTAATTTGGAGGATACAATCTTTCTATATCTTGCAATCATCTAGTGTAGACTGGAAATAGCCAGCAAACTTTCTGTTAAGTGAAGGGCTTTCGGTTGGGTTCTTGTTCTTACCCCAACTGGAAATCAATATTTTTAATTCATTTTTAATGTATTATTTAGTCATATTCTCACTGTGTCTGAGATATGGTTAGTTTCAAACATATATGGCTGCTAATTTTTGTTTTTTCGGTCTTTTTTTTTGTTGTTTTGTTTTTTGGTTTTTGTTCATTGTAAAGTGCCTCTCAAGTTTTCGCATGCTTTGTTTCCATCATTCTATTTATATTGTTCGCTTGTCATGCCACTATTTATATTGGTTTTTGTTCATTGTAAAGTGCCTCTCGAGGGAAGGGTGAAATGAAATTTATAGTCCTTGTAGTTTCTCCAATTTTTCACCTTGGTCCATGTAGTTCCAATGTTCGCAATTAAGGGCCTCTGGTTTAATCAAGTTTGCAATCAACTCTAATTCCTTAAGTCTGTCAAATAAGTTGACCGAAAGATGATATGTTTAGCAAATGGAAGTGTTTTCTGCCTGACCCAAATTGTCTATGTTATGTGCACTAAGTATGTATTGCGCGCGTTATCTTTTCATCCTTGACAAATTTAATGCATTGTTGTTGATTTCCATTTTAAGTAAACTAATGTCTTTGTTGCCAAAATTGAAACTACATGGAACAAAGTAGAAATCAAGAATACTATGAGAATTATGCATGTTATTTGGCCAAAAAGAAAAACCAGCAGTAACGGCCATAACTGTCTCCAATGCGTCTTTTACTTTACTGTTTTTCATCAAAAATATTCTTCTGCTTAGTAACGTACATACTTTTGTCAAAGGTCCGTGACTTTTGTCGATACAGAATACTTTCCTAATTGATGTGTCAGAGTCTTATCTTTATAAGTCATAGCTAATTCATATTTAGTAATTGGGATTCTCTATTCATTAAGAGGCTATCTGGGCTTTGCCAAAATCTTTCCCATTTATTATTTTACCTATCCCAGTCCTCTCAACTGTGAACAAGTGCATTCAAGGCTAGAGATATTACGCATTTGTCAAGTTTTGTATGGTTCAGGATAGGGAATGTCAAACGAAAATGACTAGAGTCTTTGATTTGTCCAAATCAAGCATTGCCATTACAGGTACGCCCTTGAACTTACATGGACTGCGATGCATTGTATTGTACCTCTTCTTAATTATCGTATCTGGCATGCTTTGTGGCCATATCAAGTTAGATGTGAATTGTTAGAAGCGTTCTCTCTTTCTCTCTCTCTCTCTCTCTCTCTCTCTCTCTCTCTCTCAAGCTAAAGGTTAAAAGGATAGAAGTAAGGCTGTGTAAGATTCTATGCTTCCAGTTGTTCTTCCCATACTTTACCTCCAATTCTCAAAGATAACCAAATAACTTTCTGTTCTTCTACGAGTGATCAGTGAGTTCTGTCTTCATCTATGGACGGCCAACAAGACAATGCTATTCAACCATTTGATGAAGCATGGTTTGATGTGGCTAATCCATGTGGGAAAGAATTTGAACTGCCAAATGCCTCTTCTCCTATCCACCCACGATGGAGTGACAACAGCAACAACCTGGTTTTCTTGCAAGACCAGCAGCTTCATACTCCAGATATACTTGAAAATTCTTATGAACTGGAGACAATCAGATCTTCTTGTGCTGGAAATCAAGTGGATTCTTGTCCAATCATGGAAATGGGGCCTTCAATAGCCAACTTTAATCCAATAGTCAATCCACAAGAAGGTACTTCCATAGGTAACCATAAGGTCCACTTTCCTAGATCAACTGGTGTACGTAAATCTGAATTTGAGGGTGCCTTTCCTGAGGTAAATCAGCATGTTTATGCGCCCACCTCTGCTAGCTATTCTTGGAAGGGAGTAGATATTAATTTTCCTTTAAGAAATCAAGAGTCTCATTCTGTTAACTCTACCAATTCACCATCCATTAGTTCAACCGAGTCCTTGTGTTTGAAAAACAATCCAACCCATGCTCCCAGATTTCCTAATACATCTGGGTTTGGCCCAAGTGTCTACATCCCTCCTAATAAACAATTAACTCACTTCCGTACTTCATCAAATGCATTTCGATTAAATTCAGATGATTACATCATCAATGATCATGTCTGCTCCGGATTCCACTTTACTATCCTTGGTCCAATTTCTAGCTCTGGATCCTCATCTTCTTTTGGATCAAGTGGCTGTCATCCTGTGAGAAACCAGGAAATCAGATCTTCTAGCTTCACTGATTCACCATCCATACAAAATGGCTTGTCTGTTCGGTCGAATCAAGTGGCTTACAAATTTGGGGGTAGTGCAAATGGGGACATAACTCATGGTCCAAGCCACCTTCAGGCTGTTAGCCATGGTACAGGAATTACATCAAATGTGCCCGTCCCAGTGGAAAACCAAGTAGAAACATCAACCCGAGCTCCTCAGTCTAATTGTCACGGTTCAGAAAAGAACCAAACTTTTGGTCCTAGCTCATCGAAGAATGGCCGCTGTGATGTAAAATACACATGCAAGATCTGTAAGAGAGAATTCCCTAATTATAATTCCTTAGGAGGGCATATGAGTTTTCATGCAAAGATGAAAAAGGCAAAGAGAAAATTGGACAGCAAGTAATGTATCAAGGGCCATGAAGATTAACATTCAGGAAAGTGACTCCTAAAATAAGGTGAAACAGGGGTTATTATTCCCCTCCAGAGAAGAATTTTAGGGAGAAACATTCTCCTTCTGTATGAGATTGTGAAAAATGGATGTTGTCAACCACACAAGAGATTAAGTGAAGAAATGTCCTCACCAAAGGATATTGTGGAGAGCCAAATCTCTCAACTATGCAAAATTTCAAAAGAAAGAATTGTCTTCGCCTAGGATTGAGCATAATGGAGGCCTGACAACATTTTATCCCCGCCGGCACAATCCTTCTATATGAATGTTGCGTCCAAGAGTGTTACTCTGCTGATCTTAATCTCAGTGGACATATTTTTCTTAGTTTTTTTTCTTGTCCTTCTTAGATTTAATGTAGGACCTTGATGTGAAGTAACTTTAGCTCTTTCCTTATTGGAGCAATAATTTTTCGCTTTTCCCTTTTTGGTTTAGGTCCATCTCAATGTGGTTTGTGTGGATGTGAAGTTAAAAATCAAACTTTTTGCAATCATTGAATGCTGGTTTTATTTACTATCCTTCGAAGATTTCAGATGATGTATGTATTCTTGACATTGATTGGTTTCAAAATTAAACCATCACCATGAGATCGTTCTAGATTCAGTTTCCAATCAGTGCTTTGAGCTTCATATCTGCATATATTATGAGAAAGTGCATACTTTGTTGTAGATTTGAGTTGAATTCATTGTAATCTTGACTACTTATGTAACGGCTTGATTGATTCAGGACCAAAGTAATAAACTATATAGCTGATATTGCTGTTTTTTCTTTGTTACAATGTAATTCTGTACCGGTAGTAGGTATGCATTCTGTTTAAAATTATGGATAATCTATCGTTATATCACATTATGGAGCCCTGTTATTGACATAAAATGCATATTCCATGATAGTTGTAGTAGAATGTTGGTCATAAACTCATAATTAAGACTGGTTCTGACATTGTATCTCTCTGGCAATTCATACATGTCTTATGTTTTCTAGTTTTAAAACCATTTATAGTGTTCACGAGATTATCTTTCGAGTGTTCTTATAGTGTGGATTATGACATCTTTCTCAAAGAATTAATTAAATTCTGTGTGTGGTTCTGTGCAAACTTCAGGTCTCCAAAGATTCAAAAATAAAGATTGGTTCAAGCAGAAGCCATCTTCCCAGTAGTCATATAAAAAGCTCAAAATGCTCACTGCTTACCGCTATTCCAGTTGTAAAGATTTTTCTTTTATGTCAGGAAAAGAAGTAGCCTTATTTTTTAACCACTCTGTTACCATCTCTATGTTTTGTTGTATGTGTTGTTTAAGCAATTGTGAGATACTTTTGTGAGCCACCATATTTGAAATTGGTTTCCTTTTCTTCCCCCTAATGGACAAATAAGTATTTTACAAAAATTCAGAAGACATAATTGATTGGATTTAAATTTTGCCTATATATATATATATATATATATATAAATAATTTAAATATTTAAATAAATAAAAAAACTGGGTTCAGATGAATATACAAGCAGGTGAACTATAGATCAGAAGGAAAACAAGGGATAATAAGAGTGATGAGATAAGACAGTCAGATAGCACTGGAAATAGAAGAAAATACCAAAACTTGCATGGCTCACTCCCAGGTGTTGAACGGAGACCATAACAAGACAGAATGTTCACGAGAGACTTGAGGGATCTGTCCGCCCATGCTTACCCCGCACAGCATCATCGCTCTAATAAACGTGATTCAACTTTGTAACCGATGACCGGTGTGTCCATTCCATTTATGGCTCAATGCCGTCAACCCTTTGCTTTACCCTATAAAGAATTCTTAGGGAAGGATAGCATTCGACTACTCTCTGCATTTTAGTTGGCAATGGTTTAGTTTTTCCCAGAGAATGGGAAATGAAAGAATTTTTTTTTCCTTGATACAATGTGACTAACCAGCTTAACCCACACGTCAGTAACTTCTTTCCCCATATTTGGTAATACTAGGAAAGGAACTAGTAAAGTGCATTTTATTCTATACCATGTCTGGTTTGTGCATGGAATGGAAACAAACTTCATTTAGTTTTTCAATTAGACCCATAAATTAGAAATATGCATGGAAAAAATGTAATTAATGCTTGTCTTTGTATTTTTAATTGTTAATAAGGGCAGATTGGTCATTAAAAAGTATAATTAATGTCTACCTTGGTTTTCCATGGGAAAGGAAAATGAAACCTGTTAAACTCAAAATTTCATACATATACACGCCTTATTTACTTACTCCTTTTTACTTAATTTCTTAGAATTCTAAGTCATTTGCCTCTCTGCGTGTTTTGTAGGCCAATAGAGCAAGAGAGCATAATTCATGCAATTCAAGCATGTTAAGGCCTCATTTGGATGAATGGAAAAAGAGCTTAAAGACAAATCCATTTTTGGCTGCACTCCCTTGTCAATCCAGTTTTGTAGGTCACACTGTAGGCCCATTTTCAGCAACCTACACAGCTCGGATGAGGCAACATCCTTCATGGAAGTTGTTCCAATGGGTGTTTATTATAACATATCCAAAATGCAACCCATTGGATAAATCTGGAGTTCGTCACCCATCAAACACAGAACCATGCTTAGGATGAAGTTTGTGTACGTTGCCAAATGAGTTAGCAATTTGTTTCAGCCTTAACTTCTTCCTCCGACCTTGGATTGACCCAAATAACATGTGGTTGGAAAGATGACATTCTGATATTCAAGATGGAGGGTTCAAAGCCATCATTTGCTTAAGGGAAGCCCAATTTATGAGCCCTTGAAGTTGCAGGTCATGCTGACCTAAGGATGAACTAAGTGTGCTTGGTCATTCTGACCTAAGCATGAGGTGTTATTGATTGTGGGGAAATTAGGTGAAGCAGATTCATTACTTATAATTGGAGTGGAGTTTTTCAGTAGCCAAAAGAAAGAAAAGAAGATGAAGTGGGAGTTGTAGCACTAAGCCTAAGGAGAAGAAGAATTGTTTTCAAATTCAATTGTGTGTTAGGTGAAGTGGGTGTAATTAGTGAACTCAATTGTATAATCTGAAAAACCTAACCCCAGGCCTATAAATAGTGAGGTTCCCCAAGTCTTCAAACAGACCCCAAAGGGAGGAGCTCTCAAACACCTCTTTAGAGCTCCTCTCCCTTCTCTTCTTCTCCCTTCTCTTTCTCAAACACTTTCTCCCCCATCTCTTCTTCTAAATTCTTCAAACAGCTCTCTTTCCTTTAAAAATTCTCCATGTTCTCAAACACCTTTCCTTTCTCTCCTCAAATTCTCCAAGTTCTCAAACACCTTTCCCTTCTCTCTCTCAAATTCTCTAAGTTTTTCTTTAATGTTCTCAATTGTTGTACAAAAATCTTTTCCTTCTTAATTGCAATTTATTTTTCATTGTAATGTAAATTGTTTTCTTAAGTTTTCAAGTTTGATTAGTTTCCAAGTTTCAATTACGGATTCTGGTTCTTATTCAATATGCTTATAAGTTAATATGCTTGTTTGAGTGATTGATCACCATTAAAACTTGTATGTTAGCTATCTTGGTTTGAATTAAGAGTAGACACCATGCTTTAATTCGAATTGAACTATGAATAGGAAGAGTATGTATGAACATTCGACAACAGGGATTAGATACATATTGGTTGTTTAAAACATTCTTCTATGCTTAATGGATTTCTAATGCTTAATTTTAGGTTAGACAACAGATTATCAAATTAGGGAATTAGGAATACAAGGTTAGAACCAGACACCATGGCTTAATCATACTTTAACTAGAATCAATCCGTGAATCTAAATTGATCTTGGTAACTAATTTGCTTAAGTTTGGTTTTTCTTTCTTTCTTATTTTCTGTTCTTTCTTTCTTGTTTTCTGTTTTGTGTAAGGAAATTGAATTGGATCATTCAATCACCAATCCCTGTGGAATCGACCTCGCACTTACATATGCTAAACTACCAACAACTAGTGCACTTACGAGTATCACAAGTTGAAGATGTAGCTAAATCCATTTTGGTGTAGCTAAATTGATGCAACAAGTTTTTGTATTATGTTAAGCTCATAATTTCATACATATACATGCCCTATTTACTTACTCATTTTACTTAGTTTCTTAGAATTCTGAGTCATTTGCATCTCTTTGTGTGTTTTGTAGTCCAATAGAGCAAGAGAGCATAATTCATGCAATTTAAGCTTGTTAAGGCCTCATTTGGATGAATGGAAGAAGAGCTTGAAGACGAATCCATTTTTTGCTGCACTCCCTTGTCAGTCTAGTTTCGTAGGTCACAGAGTAGGCCCATTTTCAGCAATCTACACAGCTCGGATGAGGCAGCATCCTTCATGGAATTTGTTCCAATGGGTGTCTATTATAACATATCCAAAATGAAGCCTCGTTGGATAAATTTGGAGTTCGTCACCTATCAAACACAGAACCATGCTCAGGATGAAGTTTGTGTACGCTGCCAAATGAGTTAGTAATTTGTTTCAGCCTTAACTTCTTTCTTCGACCTTGAATTGGCCCAAATGACATGTGGTTGGAAAGATGACATTCTTAACTGTGAGATGGAGGGCTCAAAATTGTCATTTGTTTAAGGGAAGCCCAATTTGTGAGCCCTTGAATTTGTAGGTTATGCTTACCTAAGGATGAGCTAAGTGTGCTTGGTCATTCTGACCTAAGCATGAGGTGTTATTGATTGTGGGGATGTTAGGTGAAGCAGATTCATTACTTATAATTGGAGTGGAGTTTTGCAACAGCAAAAAGAAAGAAAAGAAGATGAAGTGCAAGCTGCAGCACTAAGCCTAAAGAGAAAAGGAATTGTTTTCAAATTCAATTGTGTGGTAGGTGAAGTGGGTGTGGTTAGTGAACTCAATTGTATAATTTGAAAAACCTAACCCCAAGCCTATAAATAGTGAGGTTCCCTAAGTCTTCAAACAAACTCCAAGGAGGGGAGAGAGAGCTCTCAAACACCTCTCTAGAGCTCATCTCCCTTCTC